TTTATTTTCGTTAAAAAGTTATTCTAAACTACAAATAAATTACTTTTTTTAAAATCCAAATTAAATTGAAATACTTTTTGAATGTATACAATAATACTATACAGAAACATTTTATTGGTTGCAAGTTTCAAGAATTACAATAAAACAGTCTCGAACTTTCTTTTTTAAAGTAGAAATTCACGATATTAGAACCCTAAGGCAGTTTTTAAGAAAGATACATGCCAACGAATTTTGCATGCAGTTTGCGACATAAAGTAGAAAGGAAAATCACTTTGAATCATTCTCAAAATATTCGTTAATTTTCAAGAAAACTTTAAGTTATGCTTTTTGAATATTTATGCAGGGATGCCAACTGCTCCGCTTTCTGGAATAGTTTTAATAAAGTAGTAGCAAAATAGTAATATTAGTTATAAAAGTACAGTTACGACTACTTTTTACTTGAGTGACCAGTAGTTTGAAGCTTTAACGTTGCATTTTCTATGATACTTATAAGTTTTGATGTTCAGTGGTGAAAAAATTACTTAAAAGGAAAAATACTAAACTAAAAGTAACTTGCATTTCGATACCATTAGAAAATACTACTTTACAAAGAGGAGCAAGTTGGCATCTCTGTTTATGACACAACAGAAATTGTAAACAAAAATAAAAGATAAAAAATATCATTTATAGTTATTAATGTTAACTATAGATAGAAAAATATACTGGGAACTGTTAAATAAGTAATCTTAAGAAACTAAAGCGGTAAGATATTAGTTGATTAAGTACTTTATTCGCTTCAAAAATATACAAATTGGAAATAACAGTCGACGTGTTGAAAGTGTTCAAAATTAGTCGCGAATTAAAAGAAGCTAAGTTATTTGAAATAAACGGAAATTAACCCCTTAACATACGAAGACGTCTGGGAAACGTCATTTGTTTCTTATGTCAAAACAATAATTGACGTGTCCCAGACATCGTCAACACAAAAATGCCAGCTTGCTCCCGACAGCAAATAAATATTTTAAAGTGGCAGTTCATCAATTGTGATTCTTGATTTAATAAATTCAATTTAGAAGATTTTTATCCACCACTATTTTCAAATAATTCGTAGGCTTATATAATTCACCATTTTATAGTAATTATGTCATGCTATACCTTTAACCCCTTGGGGACGGGTGATTCAGAAAAGCATTCGTACAAAATCAGAATCAAGTTGCAATTAAATAAAAAACGGTAACTTAAATGTAGTCGTTGCTAATTTGACAGACTTACTTTGCTTTTATTTTAATTATTGTTAGTTTAATCATATATATAATCAATGTTAATTCAAAGCATAACTAAATAGTTTTATTTTGAACAAAGTAATGGTGAATTAAATAAATCAAAAAAGTTATAACTCCGCCCACAAATAAACTGCTAAAGAAATACTTTGATTACCAGTTTTATCTTCTTACCCTGATTGATACGGTTTTTTGCTGTCACATATTTGTGACAGTCGGCGCGAAAGGGTTAAAGAAGCAAGTAAAAATAGTAAAATATTTGCGAAACTTAGAATGTAGTTATTGACCACTTTTTTAAATTATTTTGGCATGCCCGGAGCAGTTGGCATCTCTGTCAACATTCCGTTGAGAGTTGTTGTTTACAGTGCAATCAAAGATCATTTCTATATCAAGAAATTTAATGATATTTCAAGGGGTTAATTTAACATTGGTCACAAAATTAAAAAAATGAAAATATTTGATAGATTTCAAAACACTTATGTTTCTTCGTATTCACATATCTGCCAACTTTTACGCATTTGGCGTAAAATTTTATATCTATATTTAAAGCGGTAGTAAAATGCATGCTTTCTATATATTCCTCGCATTTATAAACTTAATTTATAATCTTTTTGACCACCACTATTATTAAAAATATTAAACAGATATATTAATATGTAATACTGTCTTAATTGTCCACACTTTCGAAATACAACGCATTTTTCTGCCTAACCTTGTAATTTATCTACCACTTGTAATTTATCTACCTTGTAATTTATCTTCCATTTTACTACCACTGGGAAGAATCATCCTCGCTGGGCTTAAGAGTTGGCAGGTATGTTTTCACGTCTTGCAAGTTGTGGAAATGTGTGCCATATTTGTGAGCTTGAAACATGTCTACCGTTATTCTTAAGGCGTATGACGTTTTTAATCAAGTAATATTCTAGTCCTAGTGTTTTGATCTTATTGGGCACCTGGGCCGCGAAGCGGCCCCTATCTTATTCATCTGGAATTTTAGAACAGTTTTGGTTGAGCAATGAGGTAAGCAGGCAATGGAGTTGCTTTTATGAATGTTTCAAGCTCTTTGCTTGAATAACTAAAAAGGAATCAAAAATAAATTGAGCAGCTTGCTCTAAACTGTGTTTGTTTGACTTTGGAGTTGTTCAGAATTGTATCAGCATGAGTAAACGTTATTTTCAGAAAGGTTGATGAAATTATTTGTTTTGATAGTCATGATATGAGGCGTCGGAGGTGAAATGTGCAGCTATTGGTCTGTAGTTTTTATCTTTGATATAATTTTCAAATTTAAAGATTTCATTAAAATTTGCTGTTTTACATTCTATGTCTTTATCGAAAAAATCTGCGTTTAGCTTGTATATATGCTGTGATAGAGTTGGTATTTTGAGGTCTGCATGTATATTGGTATTCCGGATGAACCATCTTGCACAGGTTATTTTTCTAAGGATCTTGCTTTGGCGGATAATCAAGTAACAATAGAAATTAATCAGGATTCATATGCAACTAGAAATGATTAAAAAGTGGTAGTAATAATAATATAATTTTTAATATTTTTATGTTTGTAGCAATCAGAATATTTTACTTTCTCAAAGTAAATACATATAGATTAGCAGATATGAAATTTTATTTCAATAGTGAAAGCTAATGATAAGAAGTTAATATTTTCCAGATGGTACAAACCCTGCCGATTAACTTTTATGAAAGAAGGGAGCAATTATATAGCTTTTAAGCAAAAACTTTTTTTTCGCAAACAGCTACATATTTTTTTTTTGTCTTTCAGAATTGAAAAAAAAATTTAACAAATTTGTTTTTTTACTTTGCTCTGAATTTCCAGACTTCAATTATCTTCATAACTGAATTAACTTGAGTGTTTGAATGTCTAATTTTAACCCTTTCGTTACTAGAGTTGTATTTAACGATCATCAACGTAATCCCCTGTGTGTAAGAGCACCATAAATTGTCGGCGTCAATATCAAACCGTTTGGTAACTACCCCAATTTGTCACTGGCTAATATTCCCCTTACCTACATACATTGATGGAGAAAAAAAAAATCCCAACGCCGAAAAAAAAAATTATGGTAGAGTAATAAATTTTCGGCAATTCATTTGTCTGAGTAGAATATTTAATTGTTTAAAGTTTCAAGATCACAGGTTAATGCAAATAAGAGAAAAACTATTTCAAATGTGAAATACTGGTATAATAACAACCGTTTTAACCACCAGAATTCTGAATGCAAGCATGCAAACGGGTATGCATTGTGCCATACAGACGCTGTATGTCATTTTGAGGTTGATTGACATACGTTAATGACATACCCGTATGTCATTAACTCCCTACGCTCATCTTGGACAAAAGAGTTAGCATAGGCCAGGATATCCTGGTTAGTAGGGCACTGGACCCATGTCCAAGAATTCGTGGGTTCCATCCCAGCCGGCGGAAGACTCCCTGCGTAGTAAATGGTGACTGATGTATATTAAATCCGACTGGTCACAAAGTCCTCCATGTTTCCGTAACAAATCATACCTCTAAGAGTACAGATCCAGGAGTTTCCTTGTCTTCTGGATTGGGTTCAAAATTACAAGGCTATGGAGTTGAACATTACTAGTCGTAAACCCAAATTTGGGTCGGCTGTTTAATGACGGTCATAATGACGGTCAAAAAGAGTTAGCATAGAGCTGTGGTGGCTCACGGGATAGAGCGCTCGTCTCCCAATAAGTTGATACGGGTTCGAATCCCATCAATGGTTGGTCGATACGCATTCCACACCTGACTCACAACGACCATAAAACTGACATAAAATATCCTCATCAGTAGACAGATGATGGGTTAGAGTACCCTTGCCGTCAAGCTAACCGTGTGCAGTTTTCGTGGTTTCCATCTCCATCTAAGGCAAATGCTGATTAGTTCCTCCACGAAAAAGTCCTCCACGAAGACGCATTTCTCCCAATACTTGATTCAGGAGTTCCCTCGTCTTCTGCATTGGGTTCATAATTACTATACTACGAAGTTGAACATTGATAGTCGTAAACTCAAAACTCGTTGGGCTTTACAATGGCTGTTATAAAATAAAATAGAGTTAGTATAAAAGTGTTTTTATATTTTTGTGCAGCCCCTGTATACTTTAATAATAAAAGACTCAACATTACTTTGAAATAGCATATAATTCGATTTTTGCAGTAAAGTAAAATAAATTCGAATAATTCAAAGTTACGTTAAATTTAAATCTTAACGCAAAGTTCATTAATATGAATGGTAGAAATAAAATAAATTTAAATCTTTATGTAAATATGTATGTTTTCATTTCCAAGATTTATTCGTATTTGAGTTTTCCGGGTTGAATCCAATGTAGTTTTCCGGGATCTGAATTTAATAATTTATTCGATGTTATCAATATTTACACTGTAAAAAGTAAAATCAAATTTATAAACAAATTCCTTTCCCCAAAAAAATATGTGGGTCATACTCTATCACTCACTTAGAAAACCATCGATAACATTATTTAATCGTTCACTTAAAAAAATCAATCTAAAACATTAAGTGATTGCTATGTTTACAACAATTTACATACAAAATTGTGTCACTAGTGTGGATAACTATTCTCACTTTTAATCGATAATTATTTCTGACGATTAATCGATATGGTTTTTGTGTAAGAATATCCAATGAGGATGAAGAGGTCAAAGGACGAGTAGTTTCCCTAAGGTCAGGGAGGCCGAGTATATAAAGGAAGAAATAAGCAACAAAGTCCTATCTCATTAAAGATGGTCCTGAGATTAGGGATTCTACTGTGGTTAGGAGCTATTGTATATGCAGGTAAGCCGCAATATTCTTTTAAAGATATTGATGGTGAAAACTAAAGTGAAATTACATAAAAGAATTTTTTTAAATAAATAAATTTACCCAAAACAGCTTTGAAACATAAATATTTTAAATTTATGACATAAGTATTAAAACCTTTGAATAGTTTTTGCCAAAAAAAAATATATGTATGCTATTCTAGTGAAATAAGTTAATAATAAAACTTTATTCTATTCAAATTGAAATTTTAATATACTATTTGCAAGAAAAATATAGATATATATGTGATGGTTAAAATTTAGGTGAAATTAGATTACAAAATTATGCCATAAAAGAATTGTAAAAAGTTAAATAAATATACTTTGAGCTGTTCTAAAATATAAATATTTTAAAAATATGACATTAGTATTAAAATTATCGAAATAATTTTTACCAAAGAAAATTATATGTAAGCTATGCTGATGAAATACGCTAAGAAAAAAATTTGATTCTATTTAACACGTTTACGTCGGGAAAAGTGGAAATACTTGTAGAAGAATAGATATAGAATTTCAATATTAGATAATATTCGGGAAGAGTTAATCTATTCTCAACAATAACAATTCACTGTAAGGAAATTTATCACGGTGAAGAAGCAATTCAATATAAAAATTGCATCCGTTAAAAACAATTGGTAGTTATGGATTTTTATTATTCCCGGAAAAAAACTAAAAAATGAAATTTATTGTTACCAGTTTTTACTCCGGTGCGCTGCCAAGATGAGACAATCTAGCGTGACCCAACAGTGGGTCACCCCGGCGTGAACGTGTTAAATTGAAATTTTTATATTAAAAAATACATGATTTTAAAACATGAAGGGGAAAATATATTATATACTTATGCCCTTTAAAAAATAATAAATGTATTTAATACTATTTTGAAGTACAAATGTCTTATATTAACGAAATATATTTTAATACATAAGCAACAAAGAGCTATCTCTTAAACCGTTTAACTGTCGTATTTTCGTTTTGTACTAATGGAATAGGTGCCTTTAGCATAGCTGCCAACAACAAAGGATTTTCTGTAGTATTTCATTTTCATATTTAAAGTATCTTCTTAATTCTTGGATTTATAAGTTTAGATTTAGACCATCACTAAATGCAAATGAACCAATAAAAAAGGTAAAAAATAGGGAGAAATTAGATAAGAAAATTTTGTCTTCTAAAAAATAAACAAATTTACTTAAAACTATTTTAAAAGGCAAATACTTTAAAATAATAGAATTTATTATTATAAATAAGCAACTAAGTTCTATCTTTTTAACCATTTACCTGCCGGACTCTTATTTTGCACTAATGGAAAAAGTGCCTTAGCATAGCATAGCCGCCAACAACTACGGATTTTCGTAGTATTTAATTTTTATATTTAATAAATTTTAATGAATCTTATAAATTTCTTTTTAATTCTTGGATTTACACAAGTTTAATTCAATCTGATTTTGACTACCACTGAATGCAAATAAATCAATTTTATATATAACAGCATGCTAAAGAAACGAAAAGGAGTGTAAGCACTTGTGAAAAATTAAATTTATCTTCATTTTCATTTCAATTAGACTTTCGTTTCTTTTCGAGAAATATTTTTCTTGGAGAAAATAAAAGATGGCAGGTCTGCATTTTGAGAAACGTGGTAGCAGTATATCATACAAATTAAATGGAACATTCCTCCATTTTTCTACTAATTTTATTAAAAATTGCGACAGCTGTTTGATTTTAGAACAAGATATTTGTCACAAGAGGTGAAATGTTTTCTAATTAATAGATTTTGGTTGCTGGGGATATTTAGTTTTTCCAAATGTAAGTGCAAAGACGAAATATTTGAACGAAATTAACGAAAGATTTAATCTACCAGTTTTTAACATTTTAGAAATGATACATATTCCAAAAATTCCTTACTGGTTAAAGACACTGAGACTATGAAGTTTACTATGGATATGAGCTTTTGAACCTGTAGTTAAGCCGCAATAACGTTTTAAAGAGATTTTCTTTAAAAATTAAGTTAAAATTTCCTTAGAAAAGTAAATGCCTTTCGAAAAAGTAAAGCAAATTCGTTTCTTGAAAACTATTTCAAAGCCGAAATATATTTAACATAAATATTAAAATATTTTTAATAAGTTTTAAAAATATTTTACATGCATGTCATCGTGCTGAACTAAGTTGAGAAAAATACTTAATTCTAATAACATATAAATCGCAATATTAGCACAGCGCTTCACGTAGAAATACGTTTTGGAAATTTCGTCGATCCATACAAAAGTTTAAAAAGCGGGAACATAACTTCGTTTCCGCTCTGTTTTTTCAAAGAAATTATCCCCTCGTGAGTTCCACATACATAAATGATTCAGTGCGTATGTTATCAATACTACAATCATTCATCGTAATTTTTTTTAAATAGAAGTTGCAGTTAAGGAGACAAGAATGCTCCAACTTTTAGGAAATCTTGCAAACTACTTTTTTTTTAAGTTTTAATGTATAACAGAAGTAATACACTTTTGGAAAAGTTGCCTACATGCAATGCGTTAACTTATTAATTACATAAATTGTATGACAGGAAATGTTAAGGTTAAATTACAGTAAAAAATAATGCTTTTTTTAAATTAAAAACATAATTTATAAAAAACAATTACAAATTTAAATATTTTAAAAATATGGCATTGATATTATAATTTTCGGAAAAGATTTTGCAATAGAAAGTTTCAGATTTGTTATTGTGTTGAAATAAGTCAAGAAAAAAATGATTCCATTTGCTTATTAATTATAAAAAAATATTATAATATGACTAAGAGAATTCAATTTCCTTTTAATTAATGACAGTAATTTTAAGATTTTTTGCGTTATTTTTTTCAGAAGAAAATTACACTTATGTGAAATGAGTTAAGAAAAAACTTCATTCTATTCAAATGTAAATAAAAATGTAAACTTATTTATTACAAGAACTTTATTGGTGATATTTATTTAAAAAAATAAATAATTAGCACTTTCTAAATAATTTTAGAAAATTAAATTATTTGCATACCCTTCTATGAATTTATAAATAATAACTTCAGACAAGAGTTATTTAAAATTTTAACGTATCAGTTGCTTAAGTATATGTTATTATAAATATTTGAAAAATCCCACAGCGAGAATACTTTTTTTATTAATAAGTAATTTAAAGAAAACTTTATGTGTAATATTGTTTTAAGATGATTTCATGAATATTTGCTGCTATACGACTTTCACAATTTCAAACAATTAATCTAGAAGACATTAATTTTGCAAATCCTAATTTTAGCTAAAATTAAAGAAAAAAAATCACAAAGCATTTTTATTTTTAAAATAAAATATTTTAAGGAACAGGCTTTCACAATCATTTTCTATTTCATTGCTAGAGCTTTGAAGACGGCTAAAAGTCTCCATTATAAATATCTTTTTTATATCTAATTTGTTCAACATTTTAAAATCTAAAGTATGTCTACCTACAATGGGATTTAACAATATAGAACACAAGAAAAAAATTGTTTATCTCTCACCGCATTTTTTTTTAAAGAAAACGTTGAGTATTCTAGAGCACAATTTTGCTCTACTGATTTAATTGTTTATCATTGGTACTTATAATTTTTCATCAATGGGAAAAAAGTTTTTGTGGAAAATGTGGTTGCAAGCTTACGTTTAAATTAAATGGAAATTTTCTTCAGACAAGTACCAATTTGGTTAAAAATAGCAACTGTTTGATTTCAGAACATAATATATCACAAGACGTATTCTTATATTATAAATATATTCTAATTTATTGGGATTAAATGGAAATTTTCTTCAAAAGAAATACCAATTTGGCTAAAAAACATTACAACTGTTTGATTTCAGAACATTATACATAACACAAGATATTTTTAGATTATAAATATATTTCAGTTGATTCGAATTATTGAAATTAAATGGAAAATTTTCTTCAGACAATTATCAATTTGGTTAAAAAATACATAACGACTGCTTAATTTCAGAATATGATACATAGCACAAGATATATTCTTATATTATAAATATATTCTAGTTGATGTGAATATTCAGCTTCTCCAATTGCAATTGTTAAGAATGAAAGATTCGAGTTAAAAGTTTTTAACATTTTGAAAAAGAGTCATGCTCCGTAAACTGAATATTGGTGTTTAAGTGATTAAATTAAAAATAAATAAGCAAACAAACTTATAACAGATGATGAAATTAACGCACTGCATTTTCAATTATATATAAAAAAAAATACAAGCACTACTTTTTTTAAGTTTTTTACTTATGCAATTTTAATGAATGCATAATTGAAGATATTTGGAAACATTTCATATACCAATTAAACGAAAAAACATCATAAAAAATTTATTTAAAAGGGTGAAAATAAATTTTAAAAAGTTGACCCCCACATAAAATTACCCCCACATAAATTTTCAAAAATTTTTATTTAAATTTTAAAATAATTCTTTTTGCTATTTAAACGAAACGACATATTTCGCTTGCTTGATTTTCTTCTCTTGGAAACTAAAAAAATAAGTAGATAAATTTCGGATTAAGAAAAATGAAATATGATATCATTTTTAATATTTGATTTCTAGAGCCTGAATAATATTTCTAAGAGAAGACGTTGTTCGGAAAGTAAAATGCATTTTCCTTGGTACATAATTATTTAATAACAATTTGTTTTTACATTAAATAAACCGCAACCTAAAGTCAATTTATTTTTTTCAGTTTTGTTTGTTAAAATATTTATAATTTTTTTGAAATTGTTCAATAGTTGGCAGAACAGAAGAAGAACTAGCACTTCGGTTCTATATTCGTTAAAGTTATGTCATTTAACTAAACATTCGAGAATTAGTTTTTTGAGTCATAATTGTGCTTTACTTGTATTAAATAAAACAATTTATCATAAACATATTCAATATAAAATACGCAATAACAGTAATTGGTAGTAATTGATGATAAGGAAAAACTTCAAAATTCTAATTAAAAAATCGTTTTTAATAACAGAAAGCATATACGCTTAAAATTGTATTCTTAGCTGGAACTTTTACATTAAAAATATTCTTTGTGGTTAACTAACGTGTATAAATAAAACTTGTTTAACCGGATTTAATTTTTTTGTTACTTTTAAAGCAAATGAATTACAATGACCATTTTACATAGCTGATTTTCATACCCGCTAACTGTTAAAAATTTTTTGAGGAGTTGAGCATTGATAGTTATTAACTCAGAATTGGATCGGCTGTTCAACGCCAGATAATATGAAAGAAATAGATCACTAATTATTAAGATGTGAAAGTTTTAATATCAATAGTGGTAGCAAAAGGTTTAATAATTTTGAATTTGATAAAAACTTTTAAAATTATTTCATTAAAATAAAAAGTCATTTAAAAATTTGTAATTTTCGTCTGAAAAAAGGTTTAATTTTTTAAAAACAAAATTTATTTCTTTTAAGCACATTACTTTGCCTTTATCAAAAATAATGGAATTTTATATAAAAATGATATTTTAATAGAAACTCTTATGTGTTGTGAAATGTTGTCCAATATTGTTAAAATGACTTTTTTTAGCTGTAATTCCTAAAATATTTTGAGGATTACTTATTTTTTGATTGTTGATTTTATACTCTCTTTGTATTTTGAATAATTTCACTTTTTTTTTAATTTTTCTTTATTCAAGAAAAGAAATATTTTTAAAAACCTAATGGGAATTTAAATTTATTAAATGTTCAGTGTCCTTGAAAAAAATTGGTAATTAGTCCCAAATATTTTCAGGTCTTGAAAATTCTTTTCAAATATTTTTTGAAATGAAAAATTATTTTAAAATTCTTTAAAAATATTTTCAGGTCAATCTTACAATTTTTAAAGAATACGTTAAGGATTCTTAAAATGTCTTCTACTAATTACATCAATTAATAGCGTCATTAGTATCAATTAATATTTTAACCAATCCTAACGTGTTCCGCATTCTTTTTTCTTAAGCGATTGGATTTCTTACATGTTTCTGAGTAAAAACTGATTTAGGCGAATAAGTCAGAAATAAATTGTCTAGAAATAGCAACAAGAAAGTTAGTTACAATTTTCAATGACTATCGAAACGAAATAATTTAAATAACTTTTGATAAAAAAGAAAAAAAATATTAAATCATTCATATTTGTACATGCGCTGAATAATCCTTTATGAAATAATTACGGAGAAAACAATTTGTTGAATTAATTGTATTTTAGAACAATAGTAATTTTTAAATCTTGCTTAAAACTTACGAAATATAAGTCAAGGGTAAAATTTTTATACAAGACTGTTTCTTAGTATCGTGTTGAGTTAGGTATTTTACGAGCTTTCGCAGTTTTTGCTTGATAACAGCATAATACTCCGAAACATCTTTTTTTATTAAAGATAAAATCTTTTCTAAAAAACGAAAATGTGGTTTTTCATTATATTGACTCAAACCTTTTTATTACAAAGAAAAAATCACATTTTTACAATTTTGTGCATGAAATTTTTTTTTTAAGAAATTAAATTAAATATTATTCTAAAAATTCTTACTAAGTTTATTTCTCATATATTTAATGTCTAGAAAATATAGTTTTAGGAATTCAGATTCAATTTTATTTTCAAATTTTTAGGACCAGTTGCATGGGATGACTCCAAATGCGCTCAAAAATGCAATGGAGGTAAAATACTTTTCAAATTTTTCTAAACAATTTTGAGTATCCTGGTTAAGGAAATTGATAAATTTTTCTCTTCTTATTAGGTTCAAAGTATCAGTATTCCGAGCAATCTTCCTATATTTATTCGTTTGAATCACAGAATAAAATGGCTGCGGACGGTGCATCTGATTTGAATATGTGGATGAAAGCTACTGTGAAAGTAACGACCATCTCAAAATGCGAAATGGTCTTACAAGTAAATATCTTTTACCGTTTTTTTTCTGTCGAAAGTATGGTCAAAGCTTTCAGAATATAGAAAAATTTACCGCGTTTCGTTCTCTATAGGAACACAAAAAAGCTCGGTATATTTGACCAAAGTGATTTAGTTATAATTTTAGTAAAATTAACAATAAAATACCATTTTATAATACGTGATAAAATTTGGGGAAAGTAGTAAAACGTGGTAATTTTATAATGACACCTTAGCGCCTGGTATAAAAACCTTTTATACAGGTAAAAATACTTTCCAGTTTTGTATCTTTTACTAAACGTATAGCAATAAGAACCATCTATTTTGAAAACCAGAATTTAGGTAAACAGTTACCATATGAACAGAAAAAGTACTAAATAAGTGGTTTAAATACCGTATATTTTAGTTTTATTAATCAGAATTGCTTCCCTTTTTTATCAGAATTGTCAGTGCCATACAGTACGTTAATTTTACCAGCATTCTCTGTTAATACAGTGCGTTAATTTTACTTTTTCTCCGTCTTTTTTTACCTCTTTTTTTCAACGAAATGTGGAATATGTAAGATGATTTTGCTAAAATAACATTAAATTTACCCATCAATACCAGACACTAAAAGTGGTCTATATAAGAAAAGAGCCTATGGGAAAAATGTATACATTTGATTGTATTAAGTGAATATTTATTTCTTTAAACTACCACTTTAGCTTAAAAAAATCCCTGTGCTTTAACTTAAGATTCTGTGGAAATATTTATATTGTAATATATTGTGGTAGATAAAACTGATTTGTTATTGTAGAATATATTTTAATAATAAATACTTGTGCTGCTTTTTTTTTTAAAAAAAAAAGGAAACCAAGTGCTTTAATTTCTGATCCCAAGGAAATATTTAAATTGTAACATATTGTAGAAGATAGGACTGATTTGTTTTTGCAGAATATATTTTAAGAATAAAACATTTGTGATAGCTTTTTTTTTCTTTTTGAGAAGAAGGAACCATACTATTTAAAAAAAGGAAACAAGGTCCACATGTATAATGAAATATCAGTGAATTATTTTCTTTAGTTAATTTTAATTTTAATATTTTGCACGACTATCATTTGAAATATTTCTTTGTTTTTTTTTTAAATTGTTTAAATACCTTTTTATTTGAAATAATTTTTAAATGCATGAATTTGTGAAACATTTTAAGGAACATAGCTTTTAAATAATTTTGTCTCATTAATAAAAAACTTGATATATTTTAAAATTTTATAATCTGTCTAATGAAAATTATTTTTAAATGAGAGGAAATTTCTTACTTCCTTTAATTGAAAATAAATCTGATTAGTAATTTTAAAAACTATTAAGTATTTTCTTAACATTTTGATATTTTTATAACTTTACCTATTTAAAATTTTTTGAACATTTTTTTACTTAAAAATTATTTTTCAAAGTTTTTATAATTCTTTTGATGAAAATAATCACAATTTCCATAATTATTTTTGTTAAACAGACTTTTTACATGTTTCATACTGTTCGAATTCCTGAATTCTGATAATAATCATTTTTATTTTGATTTAGATTACAGATGTTGCATCCCAACATGGAACGATCAAAGAGACATCTTCTGTGTTCATTGAAGAACTCAAAAGGAATCCCTTACCATTTGCATGGGATGATGGCAAAATCAACCATATATGCCCTAGTCCTGATGATTCAAACGAAGTTAATAACGTAAAACGAGCTATCTTGTCTGCCTTTCAGAACACTATGAAAAGTTTTGACGCCAGTAGATATGACACAGAGGTAAGAGTTTGTTTTGTTTTTCAAAGCTCTGCTGTCAGGAAAGTAAACAAAAAAAAAACCACAGTCTAAGTTCCTTACACTCAAAACAAAGCGATGATTTTCAACTACATATATCATGCTGCGAAGAATTATCTGGGCTTTAGAATGGAAAAATAACAAATATTTAAGAAGTTAACTTTTTTAAAAATCGCCAATTTGGCGACATTTTCCCACCGAAATGAAAATTATCAAAATGGCTGCCTCAGTCTCAGCTTTTTCATATTTTTATGAGCCCAGATAATGCAGCATTGAAGTAATTTTTTAAATATTAAAAAATTAGACCACAAATGCTTTTCATTTTCTGTCTGGGCTTTTCATTTTTCTGTGACTTTTAATAATAAGTATAGACAGCGCTGACTTTAGATAGGCTAAACTTGGCCCAATAGTCATGAGTAAGTGTTGCAAAGTCTCAGCAGTTACAAAAAATAGCATATTATTTTCTCAAAAAAAATTTAATAAGCTGACGGAGACTTCGAAAAACGGGCTTGCGCTTTCAAAGACAGAATTGATTGATGCCGAAAAAATTACATTATATACAATTTTCAATGTAAACTTTTTTACGCAGATATATAAAGTTTACGAGAATATTTAAATAACTTTATGAAACCAAAAAAGTATTATTATAAATTTTTTTATGACTTAATTAAAAATTTAGCTAAAATTTATGCAATAGCAAATACATTTTCTTGATGAGCTATCTTTTATTTTACAATGTTTTGCTATGCATATTTTAAATGAAGAGAAAAATCCTTTATCGATATTTATTTTTGTTTTTTCATTCTTAACGAATTTTTCTGATCTCAGTCATTTCTCTATTAAGCGAATTTTTTTATCAAGCGTTCACTATAATTTAAAATAATAAATTCTACATTTCATTTTTAAAAAAAATCAAGCCACCAAGTTTTGTAAGCATCTAATTTTATTATTTTATTATTATTACAATTTTATGATTATCATTTGCTATTTTAAATGCCTACTTATAATTTTCTCCACCGCAATATCATGCTATTTTTTTTAAGTTTATTCATATTGATAAATTTAAAAATTAACTGAAATATTCAATTGAACAGTACAAATTTCGTCATCAAGAAGCATTCGCATAAAAAATAAAGAAAGAAAGAGTTTTTGCATAAATAATAGAAATGTTTCGGCTTTAACCCTTTCAATACGGCGAAAAATCACTAGGGACAGCACATGTCCCGTCCGGTGCGAATGGGTTAAACAAATTTGCATGTTTCATTAGGAAGGGTTCATGCGCACTTGGAAAATATTAATAACTAGTATCGATTTTGTTAAAAAGAAGTTGAAAATTTCTAAATATTTGCTTCCACTATTGAAATAGAAGTTCACGTGCGCCAAATTTGAATCTATATGTATTAACTTAGTGAAAATGAAATATTCTGGTAGGTACAAGCATAATAATATAAAAAATATATATTAATATTATTACCGCTTTTTAATTCTGTCCATGTGCGTATGAATCCTGCACCTGTCTTCTTTAACTGTTTCCGCGTTACAGACAGATTTTGGTTTTCATACTGATTAAATTGATGCTCTTTAACAAAGGTTTTTCCGGGCCTTTCGAACATTTCAGCTTTAGAAGAAATTTTGCTTTATACGGCTTTTCTTTTGAACAAAATATACTGTACCATGAAAATTATATATTTTTTCAAAATTACTTATTAATAAATCATATATATTTCAGGTGGATGTCCTAGGTTCATGTGATACAAAATACTCTATTGATAAAATAGAAAATGAGAAATATATTTTAAAAAAAACCAAAAATATTGCAACTTGTACAAATCACTTGAAAGGACAAACTATTTTGTTGGCTTCGTTTTATGAATCTGCATCGGTAAGACTTTTTTTTTTAATTTTATTTATTTTTTATTATTATTGCATTTCTATATTTTAATTCATTCGAATGAGATAATAAATTTCAATTTTTAAGAAGAATTTTACCACTAAATTTCCAATTTTGGCGTAACTTTTGATAATTTGTCTGATCAGAAAGTTAATAACAATTTTGAGGAATAAATATGTAAGTCATCATTGTCGCAAATATTCTCCACATTTTCATTAGTTCAAATAGAAAATTCACAACAATTGTAAAGAAAAATGGCAATGAAAATTCAATATTGCTAACAAATGTATCGATCATAAATTAACCAATTGAAAATTTATGACAATTTCAAGGAAAAACTTTTGCGATGAATATTTAAGTTTACAAAAGAAACATAAAATTATTAAACATTTATTCGGAGATAAAATGTATTTGGCATTTTGCTTTAAATAAGTGTGCTAGGAGTAAAAAATTTGGTTAATTTGTGTGAAACTGAAATAAGGTGTTATATCGTGTTGTGTCTAAAACCCTGATAGGATTACATCTTTATCAAGCATTAATTACTCTTAAAATTTATAATTTGTGACAAATATTATGTTCCTGCTAATGTGCCTTGTTATCTTTCTCATTTACACAAATGTATGACTAATCAATCTAGCGTAATTTCTCGATAATCATCACATTCCAATCTTTTGGTTTCTATTGTTGATGACAATGTATTTATTACGATCATAAATAAAATGATAAGTAAAACCATATTACTTTACTTCTTAAACTTCGTAAATGGTGAAACTTTTGAATAAGCACCGCGTTCCATTCTTTTTTGTTTCTATTGTTGCGTTTAAATAGGAGGATGAGTTGAACCATATTATCTCACTTCTTAAACTTCGTAAATGGTGTAATTTCTCGATAACCAAAGCATTCCATTCTTTTGGTTTCTATTGTTGCTGACAATGTATTTATTACGAGTTTAAATAGGAGGATTAGTTGATCTATATTAACTTAGTTCTTAAACTTCGTAAATGGCGTAATTTCTTGATAACTATCCCATTCCATTCTTTTGGTTTCCATTGATGCTGACAATGCATTTAATGCGAATTTGAATAGGATTATAGGTCAAACCACATCATTTTGCCTCTTAAACTTGGTTGCATGCTATTATTTTTTAACTTGAACCAAAAGTTTAACTTAGCTTCTTATTATATATAGCTGTGAATCTGTATCGGATTATGGTTTAAGAAACGGAAATTAAGGTTCAAAATTGAAACTCTTTTACTGAGAACGTAAACTGAATTACCAATTTAAATTAATAACTATTTAACTTAAACTAATGGCGTTATAAGGAGTAAGAAATGAGAGAATTATTATTTTTTTACTTTTGTAGACAAGACAACATCTTCCATTTTTATCTGGTGAAACTTTAGAGTGCATGCAAACAATAGACAGTGGTATAGTTGAAGAAGTTACTTGCGAAGAAAGTGCATCATTTAAACCACTATCCGACTATGGCTATGTTGTAGAGGCAAAAGGAAAAACAATATTGAAGAAAATATCTTCAGAACCAGCAAGCAGGATATTATGTAAGTAAAAATTTACTGTACCATATTTTATATTTTCAGAAATACATTTAAAGTTTTTTCATTCAAGATTCAAGTCTTCATTCAAGTTTTCATTCAAGTTTTTTATTTCAAGTTTGATGTTAAATTCATCAAAAACTAACGTATTTCATTTATGTTGTTAATTAACCGTATTTCAATAATATTGCTTAAGAGACCTCGTTCCACTCAATTGAACTTAAAGGTGAGTAAAGAAAGTAGGAAATTATAAATATAGTTTTAATCATCCACATCTAATTTTCTCAATTAAATTGATAAGGAATATTTAATTTACTTGGCAGTGCCATTTTATATATGTGCCATATGTGCCATTTTAAATATGTAAGTTTAAACATGTAAGTTTAATCTGCATCTTGTCCTTCAATTGTGCCAACTTTTTGCAAATCAATTTTCTCAAATTCTCCACATAAGGAATATTTAGTTTACTTGGCAGTGCCATTTTATATATGTACCATATGTGCCATTTCAAATATGTAAGTTAAAACATGTAAGTTTAATTTGCATCTTGTCCTTCAATTGTGCCAACTTTTTGCCATGTCATAGACATCTTAATTTTACGAATGCCATGGCCATCTTATTTTAATGAATGTCATGGACATTTCAGTCTCTTGAATGTCATGGAAAAACCCACTTGAACTTCGCATGGTAACAAAATTTTTGCCATGTCATAGACATCTTGATTTTACGAATGCCATGGCCATCTTATTTTAATGAATGTCATGGACGTTTCAGTCTCTTGAATGTCATGGAAAAACCCACTTGAACTTCGCATGGTAACAAAATTAGAACCCACCATTTTTATCAGATCTTTCAAAAACTGCTTGTCATTTCCGAGAAATTTCCGTAATAAGTAATTCTTATAAGATAAGGATGAAGTTGTTATGATAATAAAAATGAGCAATATTAAACATACATCAATCAATCAACATCCTCACATTCTACTTTATTAGTGACCCTTGAGATTCAGTTTTAAGAAAAAGTTCAAATGTCAAAATGATATCCATACAACTTGTGTATGTGAGTAATTAAAATTCCCTCGCCTGTTAAATTACTTCCTTAGATATTATGATTTTTCATATCTCAAATTACTCTATAACGTAAAGTGGGTCACTCTCACGAGTAAAAAGATAATATTTGAGTAAAGGTTCAAATTGATAGCCTACATCAGATTTGAAGACTTACGTAGTTCTTTTGGACCTAAATTGGCTTTAAATTGATCTCCAGTTATCAAGAAAATCTCTTATCTCATAAACATTTATTTTGCGTTTTTTAACATGCTATTAGTTTATTTATGAATTCTGTGTCTCTGTCAAAAAAACCAACATAATTGCTAAGTTTCCGAGACATTTATCCGCATTCACTTATGTTTTATATAATTTCACTAAAAATTGAAAATTAATTTTCTTTCGCTTGGTTCTTACGCACAGGGAGAAAATTTCTACTTAGTTTAAAGATGCTTCAAAACATATATATTATCACTTTTTGCACATTGGGTTAATACTTTATCCATACAATTGTTTAGTCGTAACGTTCGTTCGTAGTCGTTCGTAAGTGTTTGAAACTTTTATACATATTCACTTATCTTTTATGCACTTTCACAGGAAATTGAAAATTATTTTTTGTCTCATGGCTCTTACACACAGGGAGAAAATTTCTACTTAGTTTAAAGATGCTTCAAAACACATATATTATCACTTTTTACACATTGGGTTAATACTTTATCCATACAATTGTTTAGTCGTAACGTTCGTTCGTAGTCGTTCGTAGTGTTTGAAACTTTTATACGCATTCACTTATGTTTTATACACTTTCACAGGAAATTGAAAATTATTTTTTTTACTCATGGTTCTTACACACAGGGAGAAAATTTCTACTTAGCTTAAAGATGCTTCAAAACACATATATTATCACTTTTTACACATTGGGTTAATACTTTATCCATACAATTGTTTAGTCGTAACGTTCGTTCGTAGTCGTTCGTAGTGTTTGAAACTTTTATACGTATTCACTTATATTTTATATAATTTCACAAGAAATTGAAAATTAATTTTCTTTCGCTTGGTTCCTACGCACAGGGAGAAAATTTCTACATAGTTTAAAGATATTTAAAAATATATACATTATCACTTTCTACACATTGGGTTAATACTTTATCCATACAATTGTTTAGTCGTAAAGTTCGTTCGTAGTCGTTCGTAGCGTTTGAAACTTTTATACGTATTCACTTATGTTTTATACACTTTCACAGGAAATTGAAAATTACTTTTTTTACTCATGGTTCTTACACACAGGGAGAAAATTTCTACTTAGCTTAAAGATCCTTCAAAACATATATATTATCACTTTTTACACATTGGGTTAATACCTTATCCGTACAATTGTTTAGTCGTAACTGGTTATACAAGAACTTGATCTTACCAAATTCGGTTTTAGTTTTAGCCGATGAATTTAGTGTTTGTGTCAAAAAATCTACGTAATTGCAAAGTTTTTGAGACTTTTATACGCATTTGTTTATGCACTTTTACAGGAAATTGAAAATAAATTTTTTTTCATGTTTCATATTCACATAGAGAAAATTTTTACATGAAGAAAAATTTTGCATAGTTTAAAGATATTTCCAAAAACATGTATATATATTACAATTTTTTACACATTGGGTTAATATCTAACCCGTACAATTGTGCAGATTTAATCGTAACGGGTTATACAAAAACTTGATCATAGCCAGTGGACAGAAAAACTACATTATTTTTGTAGTTTACCACAATTACAACTACTTTGTTACAAATGTAGTTAACTACAACCACTTTTTTGAAATGTAGTGACAACAAACTGCTTTGGAATTGTAGTAACTATTTAACTACTGTAAAGAGACGAACTTTGCTGGCGAACTTAATTTACACCTATGTTCAAAATGGTTTTGAATGAGAAATTGAGTTATATTAAATATAAGGGAATATTTATTCATGTTTATATGAGCCAGTTTGTTATTCCAAAACATTTTTTTTTTCGAATTTGATCATTTAACCTTAAACTATTTATGCCTTTTTCGACAGCAAATACTTAATTTAAGAAATGCAAAATTATCAAATAATTGCGATTATTAATTGCTTAATGCTCTTTTGTTTCCTCTAAGAAATTAAGTGCATCGAAATTATGTTCCATTTCTTTAAAATAACATCGTTTCACAAGAGTGCATTCGCGTTTGAAAGTATGACCAAAGTGATTAACTATCTATTTTTCGTAACGGCTAGTTTATATATTAGTTATATGAGATTTTAAGCACGCAATTTCTGTTAAAGTTCAGTTGCAGTCACATGGTTATTTTCGTTGCATCGATTGTCAGATCCGCGAAGATTTGTACCGATCAAATTCGAAAAATTAGTTGCGTTTGAACCGTGTTTCGTTTCTAAACTAACGTAAACCTTTTCGGGACGGGAGAGTCATAAATAAATGTAGTCGTACGGATTCAGAATCAGGAGAGTAAAAATTAAAAACGGTAGCTTAAGTTTGGGCATAGCTAATTTGACAGATTTATTTCTGCTTTCACTTTAAATCTAACACATCTAATCCTTATGTGTTAAAACTGTAACTATACAGTTTATAACTCGAACTAAGTCGTGCTGAATTACCTAGTTTATCCACCCAGTTTTTCAAATATGATCACATGTCTTCGGATCATCCTGGAATTTTTCCCGAACTATTCCCGATATCCCGTTTTGTAGCTCTAGAGCAACATAAATAAGGTACTACTAATACTGTAATTGAACATCTGTGAGATTAAGGATTCGTTTAGGAATATTGTATCTGATTTGATTGCTACTTTTTTGTGAATTTTACTCAGCAGTGATAATAATAAAATGTTATCTTGGGATCTTTAAATTTGATAATAAATATAGATATTTCTGTTTCAGATCGAGCTCCTCATAAAGAGAGTCTTGTATTTAAATATACACCGAAAGTAAAGAAGGATGAAAATCTTGTCAGTGAGGCTCAAGCTATTTTAAGAAGCATTTGTGAAAGTTCAGAAACTCTGTTGTCAAAAGATGCTGCTAGCAAAGTTCATCAACTAGTATATGTTATCCGAAGATTAAGCCTAGAATCTCTAGAATCCATATACAATTCAGTCAAAAGCAAGCAACTATGCAACTCCGGCAAAGCTTTGTAAGTTTTCAGACAATTTCTATCACATATAATCCATTAAGAAAATAAATGAATGAACTATGCAAAACTTTATTTTTAATGATTGTCGTAAGAAATTTTTTAACCACTGATGTAAGTCATACAATTTCATGTTTGCTTAGTAATATTATGAATGTTGCAACTCTGGATACAAAGCCTTTTATATATTACTAGATCACGAGTTTACTGAAATGATAATCATTAAACCTTAATTTCTTATTTTTTAGAACAATTTTCCAAGACTCATTGAAAGCAGCGGCATCAGGAGGATCTATTAGTCTTTTATCAAAACTTGCTGCAAAGGGAGATATTTCAAAACTTGATTCAATTATTTGGTTGTCTCTTTTACCATTTACGTCTTATGTAGAAGAAGAATCCATCGCTGCCACATTGGTAATTTTTTTTAAAAATCTTATTTAACTATCTTTTTTTATTATATTAAAATTCATCAGCAAAATCCGTCACTGTCACATTGGTAACTTAATTTGAAAATATAATTTAACTATATCTATTATATTAAAATTCATCCACACAATACGCTGGTAACTTTTCCTAAAATCTGATTGAACTATCTCTATTATATTAAAATTCATATTCAGAATCCGTCGCTGTTACATTAGTAACTTTTTAAAATACGATTTAACTATCGCTATCTATTATATTAAAATTCATCCTCAGAATCCATCGCTGCCACATTGGTAACTTTCTTTTAAAATATGATTTAATTATATGTATTATATTAAAATTCATCCGCATAATCAGCCACTGTCACGTTGGTAACTTTTTTAAAAATCTGATTGAACTATCTTTATCTATTATATTAAAATTCAACTGCAGAATCCGTCACTGTCACATTGGTAGCTTTTAAAAATACGATTTAACTATCGCTATCTATTATATTAAAATTCCTCCTCAGAATCCGTCAGTACCACATTGGTAACTTTTTTCAAAATGTGATTTAACTATCTCCATTTATTTTATAAAAATTCACCAATTCATCATTGCATTATATATAAACATAATTTTGCTATCACTTAAATTATAAAGATTAAATCTTCCGGAAAATCAGAAATTTTGGCAGCTTTATATTTTAATAGTTATGAATTTAGTTTCCATAATTCCTGAAATCTCTTTGTTACTTCCAGCCTCTATTGAAGAAGGATTCTGCTAGCAAATATGCTTTGCTTGGTGTTTCAGCTATGGCCTATAAATATTGTTTTACATACGGTGGTTGCGAGACATCAAAAGCTGTAGGAGATGTGTCAGCTAGTTTAAAGCAGATTCTCGGTGATAAATGTCAAGCATCAAATGAAGATGAAGAAATTCAGGTAAGGTGGATTTCTTGAAATATACAGAATTGATTGTATTCTGGTTTTTTGTACCATCCTTCCTAGGTCTAAAATCAAGGAGTGGAGCATGTAATTTTACCGCGAATTTCGCGGAGTTCTGATAAGACAGTTCGACAATCAATCTCAGGACAATTGGTTCGTAAACTTCCGCAAATCAAAAACTTATAATCCGAGGAAATTTTCACGGAGTTGCACAATTTAAAATTTTGATTTTGAAACTTTCGCTAAATCCCGTTAATGAGATGCTTACTTACTTGTGATTCTTCTCCCAATTGACAAAAATCTGCCAATTTGATTCGTTTGGTTTAGTGGATTTTCGTCTTTTTGAATATTTAAAACTTTGTCGGAATCTACTAGTATCACGATTCATAGTCACGCACTTTTAATATCAAGCATTGATTTTCGTATTTATATGAGTTAAAAGTTACACAGTGCGATACGTATTCACGCAATTTAAAAATCCAATATCGTGATTCACATTCACGTCTTTTTAAAATCCAATGTTGCGATTCGTATTCATGTCTTTATTATAATAAACATCAATTTTCGTATTCATCAGATTCAAAAGCTGCACCAAGCGATTCATGTTCTCCCTAGTAAGAAATTTAAAAATCATGCAGCAGTATTCGTAATCACGTGATTTAAATATCGAATATCGCGATTTGTGTTCTTTTGTTTTTAAAATGAAATATCTCGATTCATGTTTACGTGATTTTAAAATTCAATATCGCTCTTCATATTCACATGATTTTAAAATTCAATATCGTGCTACATATTCACGTGATTTTAAAATTCAATATTGTGATTCTTGTAATAACTAAATTCTTTCTTGAATTGGTTACTATAAAGGTGTGATATTCTTCATTGGTGGGTAGTTTAATTACAAATCTTATTTCAAAAAATTATGTTATACATGCACAGTATATAAATTGGTATGGTACAAAACTTGATATCATGATCTTGTACATAACATTTTCAGGGTTTTCCACTGTGTGTCATAATCACTCGTGAATACGTATTTCATAAATCATACTTTCTTACATATTTTTTTCTTTGCGTAAAATAAAAACAAATTGATTAAAGTACTGTTTTTTATTTTTAATTTAGATTATAACAGCACTGAAGGCATTTGGAAATCTTGGTTATGTTGGAGAGAGTGCAGATAGTATTTTTGAATGTGCTTCTTTAGCAACGAATAAAATCCCTATTCGAATTGCAGCTATTGAGGCCTTCCGTAGATCACCATGTACAGAAAATGTAAGTAACATTTTAATAAATGCAATGAAACTAAGATCTTTCTCTGGCATATTTTTTTCAGTTTACTGTTGAAAGTGAATTCTAATAATGAAAGTGAAAGTGAATTTTCTCTTTAATATGAATAGTTTGTAATGTAAGCCACAGTGGTTGTTACGATTGATTAATTTCCCTTGCAAAATATGAAGGTATTTTTGAGGTTTATATGAAGTTGTTTTAAGGTGTCGAGGCTGATTTGAAGTTTACTCCAAGTTTATTTCAAAAGCAATTTTAAAAGATCAACCGCCCAAGATCTGTAATGATGGTGTATGAAGGTTATGTTTCACACTTGAGGTTGTTTTAAGGATGACGGAAATCTACTTTAGAGCAATCAGCCTAGGGAGGTTGTTTTTGAAGCGTACGGATTATTTTTTTCCCACTTCAAGCAAATATGTATAGATTTTTGAATAATTTCACCCGATCTAAACTTAAATTTTTAATGAGGTTGATTTTGTGAGATGTAAAAGAGGTTGAAATTGAGGTTTATTAATGAGGTTATGTTCGGTTTGAAATATAACCTCTTTCTCTACCTCAGGTGTTTTTTTTTTACATTTGTCACAATCAAATCAACCTCAAAAACACCTCCTTTTTTGTAAGGGTAAACATATTATAAATAAAAAAATAGATTAAAATAAAGAATTTAAAGCATAGAAAAAGAGAGGCAAATCTAAAATAAACATTCAAATTTCAAATGCTGAAAAAAATTATCGAAATATCAAAATGCAAATAAATTATGAGTGGAATACTTAGGATTACGTTGTGGCAAAGTTCTTCAGCTATTTCTTTGCATTTTGATATTTTGAAAATATTTTCTCAGTCATTTATTCTAGGTTTACCTAAACACTCCTTTCGTTAATATTTAAATTTTAACACACCAATAAAGATGAAATAGAATTTGCATTGAAAGGTATCTCCCACGACGGTACAGCATCTTCTTAAGAGCTCGATCACCTATTTCAAAATGGTAGTTTTAAAATCCCTTCAAAATGTTGCGTAAACACAAGGGTAACAGGTAATATCTATGAAACTTAAATGTCATAAAATTTTACAGGTAGTTTCCAAATTGTTGGACATATATAAAAGTAAGACAGAAGACGACGAAGTCAGGATCGCATCATTGATATCTCTCTCAAGGTGCCCAACTGTAGAGATTGTACGTCAAGTTTTGGAAATCTATGCAGCAGAAACTAGCAATCAAGGTATATAAGCTTTCCTTTGTGCAATATTATTTTTAAATTCAAATCACACCTATCAAGCATTTTTCTTCAATATTTTAATGCATGTAATCACTCCCTACGTCCCAAATTAGTTGTTACAATTTAGGTCAAATATTTGATCTTAAATTGCTGGTGGAAGAGTTCTTACAAAATGGAGAGTGGCTTAAGAGTGTAGGAACCCTGGATTTTTGAAACTAATTTATTACTGATATAAAAGGGGAATTCTGGGTAATCTAGGGACAATGTTGTTGATTGCTATGTTGTTGTCAGCATAACACTCTGAAATCACTGAATAATATTAAAACAAAATTAGAAAATAATCAGTTTTAATAATCAGTTCAAAAGTATGCAAACGCAGCAACTAATTTGGAACAGAGGGAGTATTATTGTTTTATTTTTTTTAATCATGCAATAAGCATCTCTTTTTACACTGTAAAAAATTTTTCGGTAAAACTACATGAAGATATGCTAGAAATCATGTATCAAGAATCTTTTGTAAAATTACTGAGAATTTAAAGCGGAAAATTCCTAAAAAATTATCCGCATGAGATTCGGTAATTTTACATGAATAAAGTTAAAGTTTACTCAGCAAGCTACTTCATGGCTCTTTGACCTTAAGATAGATCAGAAATCATCTAGGACATTACGTTAGAGTAAAATACATTTAAATTTCTGAATCTCAACTATGTTTTGTTTATTATTTATCTAGTTGCGTATGACGTTATTTAATTCATTGAGTGTCTTGGAAACATTTCTAAAGGACTGGAAGCTCAATTATTTCATTCTCGAAATTTATATAGGAGAAACAAGGTAGTAGTATTTACCATAATTCAGTAATAATATAAATATTTATATTTTGATCTGGAATTAGGTCATTTTGATATTTAAAAACCAAAGTGGTAACCAATGCAGAAAATTAAAAAATGAAAGCCTTGTTACTTTTCCCAATAAATGCTTTTTACGCTCAAACCAAATGTAAAATTTTTACAACAATAGTCTTAAATGGATTAATCAACTAATATTATTCATAATTCAAGTAACGAAATGTTCTGTCACTTTTCCCAATAAGTGCTTTTTGCGTCAAAAATAAATGTCGCACTTTCGCAACAATAGTCTTAAATGAGTTAATCAGCCAATATTATTCACAATTCAAGTAAGTTTTGAAATTTAATGTTTATTTTGCAAATAAGACATTAGGTTCATTTAAAGAGGTAAGTATTATTTATACATATTATTGAAGCACGTTAGACTGGTTTTGCATCGTTGTTATAAAAATAAGGTGTAAGTGTTGTAATTTATGTACAAGTTTTTAAATGGTTGTATCTACCTAAAGCTATATTGCAAAGGTAAGTTTTTGGCACTAAAAATGCATATATATTGTATGACAAAATCATTCATTTTAAAGAACACTTATGTATTATTTGTATGATGTAAAAAGTTTTCCCATATTTGTTTAAAAAAATGTTTTTCTTTGTTAAAAAATATAATTACAAAAAAAGTTTCCTTTATAAAAAAAATTTAGGTAACTTCTATCTATTAAAATACATTTAAAATAGTTATCTGTAAAATTTACTGATTTTTAACAAAATGTATATAACCTAACAACCTTTGAATCCATTTGGTATGACTTAACATGACCCCCCCCCCCNCCCCCCCCCCAAAAAAAAAGTAATGCCGTCATCGACGAATTCTCTTTCTTGGAGATGTTGAGCTACTTCCATACTCTGCAACTACTACGGAAGTTCCGTAGTTTTGGAAAATGCTTTTCTTAGTGGTAGCAAAAGTAATCTATTAAAAATATTAAGAGTAAAATTAATGTCTTAAAAGTAATGTATGTACTTGTATTATTTTGAATAACAGACGGTAGACATCGTAATATATGTAAACAAATATCATTCTCAATTTTCAATATTATTTAAATTACCTGATTAAAAGCCTCATTCGCTTCAAAAATATATAAAAAGGGGAAAAAACTGTCGATATGTTTCAAGCTCTTCAAAAATAGGTGCCCATTTTCAAGACTAGCCAGACATGAATGAAAGGAAACAAAAGTGATTTGAAATATAAATTTATTTATCTAATTTATTTTTTACTTTTATCATTTATTTAATTTATTATTCATTCAATTTATTATTCATTCAATTTATTATTTATTATTTATTTAATTTATTATTTAAATTGCAAGCTTTAAAGCAACCTTAAAATTATTACTTTATATTATGCATTTGAATTAATTATAATTAATAATTAGTAAAATATCACAAAATTTTCAACTTGGGTATTTCTAAGCGTATAGACATAATACTTTTTTAAATGCCCCATAACCTATGAAGCATCTAGTTTTGCATTTTGGAAATATATACATTTTTTATCAGACTACTAAGGAATAGTAATAGAAATATTTAGTTCTCAATAATCAAATTTATTTAATTATAAATTTCTCCTTTTATAGAAAAAAAATCATGTTCCCCTTAATAATTGTAAATATTTTTTTACACAATAATTCCGAAAGTTCATTTAAACCCCATCATGAGGGAACCGTTTTGCTTAAATCTGTTATTATTGTTACTGTTAGTAGTATTAGTTAAATTTATTTAAATCTAAATTTCTAATTTTAGAGGAAAAAAATTCCTTTTCTTCTTAATAATTGTAAATATATTTTCACAGTAATGCAAGAAGTGCATTTCTTTCCCCATCAGCAGGGTATTGTTTAAATCACTTACTATTGTTACTATTAGTTGATTTTATTTAACTCTATTTTGTATAAGTTTATATTAGTTAAATTTATTAAACTCTAACTTTTTCATTTTAGAGAGAGAAAAAAAATTCGTGTTCACCTTTTAATTATGAATATTTTTTTCTTAGTTTTACAAAAAATCAGCAAGGATCTGTTTAAATTACTTACTATTGAACCATCATTCATAAAGATTTATGAGGAATAATTACAATATAATGCCATTTTTTTCATAATGACACTTTTAACAGCAGTACAAGTCGGTGCATATTTTCTCCCTTCCTCAAAGAATTATTGATAAATATTGGACAATCATTATTAAGAGAATTTTATGAAGAATAAGAAGAATAATGACAAAATATGTAAGAAAACACTTTTATCAAAAGTTCCAATGCACTGACATTTCACAGATTTCAATTATTTGCAAATGATTTTACATTCAAATATTTAACAAAATTACAATAATAACAGAGCCATCAGGGAATTGTTAAAATTGGGTACCACTGAACAATCATTTCTAGTTTTACGTGGAATAATTTTAACATCATACCGTTTTTTTAGTGGTATTTACCCTGGTGGTATTTACATTTGAATACTTAAATAAAGACGAATTAAGTTTCTACCACTTTTTTACAATTTTAGTCTCCCGGAGCGTCCCTGCAAACTTTTAATTATTTAGAAGTAGTGGTAAATAAAAACCCTATTAATCGAATTTACTAAAGCAAGTGTCATACATTAGAAGACAATCACTCAAAAATATTTATCCGCTGTTCATAACAAGTTGGCATCTCTCCAACTGCTCCTCTTTCTACAAAAGTTTTAAGAAATTGGAAGCTAATTAAAAAGTAAAACTTGTAAAGTAAGGATAACAACTCCCACTCTTTCAAAGTGTCACCTCGAGCTTTATTGGAATTACGCACATTTTCAAGCGTGTGTGCTAATTTGGGTTTATGAACTTTTGTCAAATAGATGGACAGATAGGATAACACAGAGAAGGACAGCACGAAGATTCAAGGTATCAGCGGGATTCGAACCCTCTACGCCCATGCTTTACACACCACTCGGCGGGTGATACCGCTCGTTCAGGGAGGCCCTTGTCACCTCTACTTTATTTACTTTTACTTTATTTACAAAAATTGGGCACCTGGGCCACTTAGCGGCCCCTATCCCATACATCTAGAAATTTACAGAAAATGTATAGTAATAACATTTTGAATTTAGCAGTCGATGTGGTAGCTAATAGAAAAACAGGCACTTTGCTTCAGTAAATATAACATTTGAATATCTGATTCATCGAATCTAAGTTGACATAAATAAATATTAACATAAATTGATAAGTATTTCACTAATTAAATTTCTATATTTTAACTAGCACATATTTAATTATGGCATACATTGAAGTTCATTCGAATACATTGTGGTAGCCATAAAAAAAATTCAAGCCGTTTGCTTGTGAAATAATAAAACAATGAAAAAAATTAATATGACAAATTGACGTTTTTACTTAACACTAGAAATATTGATTGTAGACTTAAATTAAAAATAAAGATAAAACATGATTTGATAAGTACAGTAATTGATTTTTGAAAAATGAAAGGCATAATTGATGAATATAGATAAATCATACCTTGATACAGGATAAAATAACATATTTGGAGAAAATGCAGTAAATATATTTTATCAGAGAAACATTGCTCATTAAATACAATAGAATTTTCAAAAGAATTTAACGTGCATGAGTTGATAAATAGGCGGGCATAAATTGTCTATATTATCAGAAAATAAATTCTGGGATTGAGATGTTTCCCCGATGATCCCCCGCAGACCTTGTCACCTCTAGCTAACTGCAACAACACCTCGTATGATTGAATTTTTGATATGTAGTGGTGGAAAAATAACTTTAAAGAAAAAATACTAAACTAAAACCAACTTAATTACGTTACGACTAGAAAATATTTTTTAACAAAGCGGAGCAAGTTTGAATCTCTGCATTTCATAACGTCACAGGTTAAATAAAATAAGAAATCTTAACATGCCATGTGCAATGCTCGCTGATTGGTACACCATTCAGTTACGTCACTTTATTGGAATGGACTGTCGTAATGAAAAGGGTAAAATAATTTATTCAAATATTAAAGTATTTTCTTATGTTTTAATTAAGTATTTCCGTAACAAAATGCCATTATCTTTCAAATTAAATATAAGATAGGTCAAAAAATATAACACACTCAATACAGATAGTTTCTCCCATTATTGCTTACAATAATCTAATGTTTTAAAATTCAACGAAAACACTTAATATGATGATAATTATAATTAAATAGGAAAATATATTTCATAAGAATTGAATTTTTATTGCATATAGCATAAATATCAATAGAACTCAGAATTAGCATCCGTTAAAGTTGATGTTTCCACCTTTTGAGAAGTTCCCAGTGAATGATGAAAGATACTCAAATCAAACTTTTTTATGGTTTTCCATTGATGTACCAACCTAATATTGATGGTAACTATCAATAATTCTATCATGAACCATTATAATGTTTGATAGTAATAAACATAAGTAACCATCACTCCGATGTAGGGAATTTGGCCTGATTTATGATGGTCCAACATAAGAATAGAAACTTGTTTTGTTGGTTTGTACATTTTGAACCATCAGAAATTTTTCTTAGATATCAAATGTTTTAACGATCATGGACCACCATCATCCCAATGTTGGAATTCAGGCTGATTTTTGATGAACCAACATGCAAAAACACAAATTGTTTTTATGGTATATTCTTGCTTAACCAACAATAATTATTATTAAACCATCATGGAAATGCTTTGCAGTACCATTATAGACCATCACGAATTCCCATCTTAGAAATCAAATGTTGGAACGTTCATGAACAACCATCATCTTAATGTAGAAATTCGTACTGATTTATGATTGTCCAACATAAGGAAACCAAATCGTTTTTATGGTATATTCCTGAGAACCAACAGGAACTCCCATTAAACCATCAAGGAAATATATAGTTGGAATCTTCATGGACCATCATGGATTGTTGGTCAAACTTCTCTTGCCGGTTAACCATCATAGCTTTGAAGTTGTCTTTTCAATCATCGAGTGATGGAAGTTTGTTGGCATATTAAAAACCATGAACGCATAATGGAAAATGTTGGATGATGGTGATCATCAAATTAAGTTGGATCATCAACCAACATAACCATCAAAATATTTTGATGGGACTATTAAGAATTTTGACGTGTGTACTGAAATGGTTTGTGGTTTAGCAACCATTTAAATTTAAATATTTTTCATCGTTTAGACATCAGAGTTCTTTATGAATATTAAATTGAATTATTTTGGTGCTTAAGAACATTGTTTAATTTTTTTTCTTTTTTGAAAATATGGGATACATTTTAATGGATGCATGGGTGCAAAGAACAGACAGTGTGTGCAAATTTTGATAGGAGGAGCTCCCAAAGGTCGCCAAAAATATTCCAGTTGTAGCTTAGCTAATACTTTATATTTCTTGTTTTTAATTATGGATCATTCAATTTTCTTAATCACCACAAAGATTTGAAAGCTTATTGCATAGATAGAGAAATCTGATTCATATGAAATAAGGAAAATTTCAAATGTCTTTACAGAGATACCAACTTGCTCCGCTTTATAAAATAGTATTTTCTAGTCGTAGCGAAATTTAAGTTAATTTTAGTTACGTATTTTTCCTTTTAAGTAATTTTCACTCTACTAAATATCAAAAATTATAAGCATCATCTAAAATGCAACGTTAAAGCATCCATGTATTGGTTACTCTATTAAAAAGTAGGCGTAACTATCCTTCTTTAACGAATTTTACTATACAATTTGCTACCACTTAATTGAAACTATTCCAGAAAGCGGAGCAGTTGGTATCCCTGTCCTTAATACATAGTTTGCTACCACTTGAATATTTTTAGCGGCTATTTTTGAAGTTCCGCCTATCGAAAATGGGCACTAACTTTCCTGGCCACCCAATATAGTAATAAGCTTTCTACCATTTTAATTGTTTTTGGTTCAAAGCCTTGTTATCTCATAATAATTATCATTCACTTTACAATATTTTTAAGATTAATTGAATAAAACATTGAGAACTGTTTTAATTGATCAGTTACAGTTTCTATCCCTTACTTTACAGTATTTTTACGGTTATACCTAAAAAACATTTTTATAATTCTATTAACTTTCTCTATCTGATACTAATTATGCCATAGTATTGAAAAAACAACGTAAGTGCATTTAGATTGATTCAGAGTAAAAGTGGCTTGACAACTATTTTCCATCTATTGATAATGCTCTGAACGTTAAATAGAATTTCAAAAATTAATAAAACAAAATTTATATTTTTGAAAAAAGTTGAAATATGTAGCTTACCATACGAAGATGCCAAATATATCAAAATCTCAATTTTGAATTTTTTGCCACTTACGTTGATTAAGCAATTGCACGGAACATTTATGTTCTTTCTTATGCATTTTAAAATTGCTTGATGAACACAAAAAATAAAAATGATTACAAGGTTTCTTATTAATCGTAATAGTTTTTAGTTTCTTAAACTCTCTTTCTTCTTCATGATTTACATAAAAATACTACTAATTGCTTTCGATTCATACAATATTTTGATGACTTGATTTTAATTTATTTTATCCATTTGATATATATGATAATAATTATGTTAATAGACATTTTTGTCATTATTAGCTTTTGCTTCCTTAATAAATTTTTTTTTAATAAATACATACTTATTACCTTTTTATGAATTCATTAGTATACTTTTACGTACTTTGATTTAATTTTTTTACTTTACAGTCAAAGTTTTTACATGGAGTTACCTAGAAAATTTGCAAGAAAGTAATGACCCAGTAAATCAAAAAATTCAAAATATTCTTTGGGCGGAAGAAATCGAACGTCCTTCTTCAACAGATATTACAAAGTTTTCCAGAAATTTCCAAGTGTCTTTATTTTCTCAACTTCTTAACATAGGAGAAACTGTACAAGCTAACGTTATACATTCCAGAAATTCCTTTTTACCACGATCAGCCAATCTTGGATGGAAAATTGATTTTTTTGGAAATCAATTAGATTTACTTGAGGTAACAGAATATTTCTGTTTTTTATTAATATCATGTATATAAGGGTAGATAATAGAATTTTAGAGCGTTTTAAGCTCATAGCGCCTAAAACTGTTAAAGGTTTTGACTATCAAAAAGCAATAATCTGTTAAAGGGGATTAAATTCAGCTACTTTTTCAAGCATATTTCTCAGTTTACGATTGAAAATGAATGAAAAGATTGTTTTCTCTTTAAATATATATAACTTACAATATAAGTCATAGTACATTAACAAAACTAATGATCTCATTGATAAGGAGTGTGAAAACTTGCGGAAACGGTCGTAGTAGTTATACGTTATTTACGTCGTACCAGAGCTGCACAATTGACTTTTGGTAATGGTCTATGACGCATCCCGGAAACTTGCACTACCTTCCTTAACACATTGCATGCGGGTACCTTTGCCACGAAAATGTATAACAATTATTGTAGATTAAAATTTTTGAGAAAGTGGTAAGCAAGATTTCATAAAATTTGGAGCAAGCTTGTCACTTCAAATTAAAAATTACGAAGAATGATTGTAGTACTGATTACCTATATACTGTACCATTTATTCCTTCATTCATGTGTGGTAGTTATCTTAGCATCAGACGCACGAGGGGCTCTAACTTATTCATCTGAGTGGGAATGTATAATAAATCGCCGAAGCGCAATTGAATGGTGAAAGTTGGGGTTCAGTAACATTTACTGAGAGAAAATTAAAATAAAGTAGCCAGATTAAGCAAGCAAATATGAGAGAAGAGGTTTTTGTGGCAGACTGCCTCGTACTGTATCATTTGTATTTGCGGTAATCACGAATGGATAATTTTTTTGAAAAACACAGCGAAAACGAAGCAATTTTGCTACTACTTTTTCAGACTTTTGAAGCAGCAATGTCAAAAACGTACTTTTACCACCTTGCAACGTGTTAAAAACAATTCTGAAAGACAGTTTGATGAAAAATTCAGGAAATTTGTAAAGCAAACTATTCTAAAAATCCTTTTAATGTAAAATTCCGGAAACGTATAAAGTACCATCTAGAAATTAAAATACTACACTTGAGTTTGATGTAAAATTCTCGAAACTTGCAAAAATAATACTAAATGGCAATTACATATAAAAATGCTCTTCTTGAAAAAAAAATTGCGCTTTTATCACCATATTTCCTTAAACATATCTGATGTATTGTTGCTGTAAATGGTTAATAATGTAAACAAATATAATAATATAAAGCAGGTGATTAGTACTTATGTGAAACAGTGTTTATATGTAAATAAATATAATAATAATATAAAGCACATGATTAATATTTATGTGAAGCAGTGTTTAATAATAGTTCACAAAGAATCAACCTATTTCAAGAAAGAGTCACGATTTTTCATTTAAATAAACAAATTCCGTTAATAATGTTGAACAGCCGAAAATAAACAGTAAGTCTCTGACATTTTTTTAAACGATGATTAATGATAGTAACATTATTTTTCCCTTTCTTCATCTAAATGATTTATTTTATTTAAATCTATTTCAGGTTGGAGGTCGAGTTGAAGATTTGGATTTTATTCTTGAAAAGCTATTTGGACCTCATGGGCTGATGCCAAATCTTAAAATCGACGACATTCTGTCACTTATTCCCCCAAATATTCTAAACCGCATAAAAAGATCCGCAGATTCATACAAGTCAAAAATAGATGCTTTAAGTGAAAGGGTAGGTAAATAATTCCTTCAGTTTATTTTAATATATGAAAACGCATCTCTGACAGATAAAAAAAATTAAGGGGTCACGGCACCCTGGCATTATTTTTTTAAAAATAAAAGTAAAATCACTCATTTCATGAATGCTTTTCATGTCTACTTAACTGGTAATCAATAGTTTATCTTCAAAAAATAGTTATACTGTTTAATTATTTTAAAATTATCAAAAAAATAATTTCAAAAATTAAAAAATTTTAAATCCCTAAAACTTATTTTTGATATTTTTTTTTAAATATTTCTTTGTGATTACAAGAATCATCTCAACAATTCTGTGCATTCATTTGTTGATGTATCAATTATATCATTTCTTATAGATAATTGTGCACACAATTAGGAAAAAAAAGTGTAAAAATTCCAGTTACACGTGTATAACATACTATAATAATTCATTACCTTATAAAATGCTTATTCCATGCACAGTTTTAATAAGTGTATTATACTTCGTGTAAAAAAGTTTACTTCGAAGCCTTATCTTGAGTATAAAAAAATCCTTTGGGGTTTAAATAAAATGTAAAAACAAAAATATCATACATGCAAAAAGCACTTTAAAGTTTTTTTTTCTGAAAAGGTAATTATAACAAACCAAAATTAGCTTCAAACATTATACAATATAACTTTATAGAGTTATATATTAAAAAAGCAAAAAACACGTAAAAAATATTTTTAATTATACACTTTTTTAAAATTTAAGAACATTTAGCGAGAAATATAAATTATTCATGATGTTTGCACTATTCTGAGTTCCTTTCTCATTATCACATTTACAATGAATCATATAATTATATAAGTACCAGATATACATAAACATGTCTTTAACTTCCTCTAAAAAAACCTGGATCGGTCAGCTATACCTTATTATTCAGTACCTCATTATTAAATCAGAGTTATTTCTGTTGATAAGTGCTATTTAAGAAGTTAGAAATCAAGTTATGAAGTTAATCAAAGTTAAATCAAGCTATCTACATCTGAAGACTATCTAAATCTAAGGATAGTAAACAACATAGTAGCGTTGTCCTCTAATATAATTTTTCAGAAATAGTATTAATTTCCTAACATTTTAAAATATAGATTATTGTCATTGAGAATTTTGTGACCATTTGGTTACAAGTGTATTAAAATATTTAATGTTTTAGTTTATATTTCAAACAAACTTAAACAATAAAAAATGACTTAAATCAAATGAGCAGTTTATAAAACGTCTTATTTTTTCCTTTTTTATAAATTTTGTAAAAAATAATTTGTTTGTTGAATTTTTATGAATAATTTTTTTGCTATATTCTGTAACATTCAAAAGAGTAAAAAGAAAAAAAAATATTTCATAATGTAATAAAACAAGTCGATGAAACTCTTCATAAAAATTTAGTTCCTTTAGCTTTCTTTTTTAATTTAAGAAAGTTCAAACGTAATCACTTATGATTCGGCATAGTTAGCTATCTAAATCAAAGGGATGATGTAGGCTCTTGTTAATTTTTGTTCGAATTTATAAAAAGCAGTAATATTTTAAAAAATAATTAAAATGAACAAAATTTATTGAACTAGGTTATTATTCTTTCGTCAAAAACGATTCTTCAAATGGCAACAGTGATTCAAAATTAATGTGGATTTAAGTCAAACAAAGAAATAGATATAAATATAAATATATAATAATAAAGAAAGGAATCACTCTTTCATTTATAGGTTAACTCGTATCACATGTAATATGAAATACGAGAAATTAGAGATTTAATTTCAAAATGTGTTGTCATTTCAATACCATTCTACAATTATTTTTTAAATTAGTTTCTAAGCGCTTTTTTATAGATCAAATGGCATGAAAATTTCGAATTAAGTTTATTAAAATCTGAAAATTTAGAATATATAAGAAATTTTTATACTTTACTATATAATTTTTATCATTAATAAATTAATCATTAAAAATAATTTAATTCATTTAATTCCTCATTATATTAGATATTTGGCTTGGGGATGAGGGCTTATAACTTTTTGTGAAAGAACTTTTTGATGCTTTACCAATCATTTAAAAGACATGAAGAAGAACGTGACGCATTAAATTAGCATAGGAGTAGCATTCTTTTAATCGTTATTGTGGTTAAACTACGAGAACCAGCCTCTCAAAACTGTCTACCTCCCATTATTTCATAGGGGGTAAATATGAATTCGATTGCAAAAAGGTATGTTTCTTCAGAAAAAGCTCGTATTTTGGTTAAAATAAGCATATTAAGTCACGGTATTTACAGGTAACTATTATGCATATTTTAAGATATTTGTTTGAGAAATTACCAAGACATGATCGTTCTAACTGTACCAACAGTTTTGTCATGTAAAACCTTGCAGAACATTTTCTTGCTAAAAGAAAAGTTAATTTTTTAGGTTTAGTACAGAAGTGTTTCCATATTTTTGTTTTCCACTATTAACTTAGCTAGTTGGACAAAATGAGATTCTTTTTTAAATTTTAAAGACTAAGATTTTTGGGATTGCAAAATAAATTTTGTTTCAGTAATAAATGTTGTACGATGACCATATAGTTTGACAAATATGAAACTATTAATGCTTTAATGTATTATGTATTACTCAAATAAACTTCTAAACTATATTCCGATAATTATATAGTTATGTATTATTTACAGCTAGGGTACAGTCGAGGAAAATTACCTCATGGAAATGGATATATTCGTGTTCTTGGACACGAAATGAATTGGATTCATTTGGATAAGGATACTTTAAGTAGATATAAGGATAAAGGAGTAAACCTTAATAGCATTGTAGGATTCCTTCAAACTGTGAGTATCTTGAGATAAATTCATATTTTTGTAGAAATTTAAATTAATTTAAAAGTTTCAAACTTTTCTATACATATTTATGTAATCAGATGTTTTACAACCATTCAATAAAATGCTCGTGTGAACTTCAACGAAATTTAAACAGATATATGCACCGAAGAGCCATTACACTATGACCACCCTCCATCTATAACAATGGGCTCGCCCAGGTTTTCATGGTTTCTCGCCCAGGCACAATGTTTTCATGGGGCACATTAGGACTTATAATCCTCATAGAACAATCCCTGACGTCTGTAAGCTACTTGAACATAGTCGCAGACCAGGTTCACCCATTCATGGCAACAGTTTATTCTGCGGAAATGGTGTTTACCAACAGGATAATGCACCATGTCATAAGGGTCGATTTTGAGGCCTAAAAGTGGCCCTACATGTTATTAGCAGGGTGGTCATAAGGTAATGGCTCTTCGGTGTATATGTTCTTGCGCACGAAATAAATTGAATCCATTTGAATAAGGATGCCTTAAGAAGATATAACGATAAAGGAGTAGACCTTAATAGCATCATAGGACTCCTTCAAATTGTGGGTATCTATTTCTTTAGCAAACTTAAGTTATTCTAAAAATTTCGCATTTTTCTAAACATATTTATGCAATGAGATGTTTTACAATTAAACTGTTCGTGTAAACTGCAAGGAAATTAAGCGTAAAATGCGTCATGATAGTTTTTTAAAATCGTCCATCGTTTTGAATCATTTGTTAGTTGCGACAGATTGGGGCCACTGCTCATACATCTGCGCATCAACCGTGAATTTTTTGGAGACCACTTAATTTCCAAACAAATGCGACCTTTTTGAAGTCTAGACTATTTCGCTTCTGGCCTTTTTTTCTACAGGGATGTCTAAAAGACTTTGTGTACTTAGATTGCCTGACATCCATTGCGGAACTAAAGGCGAAAATCGAACAACAGTTAATCATGCTAAGCGTGCCAATGCTTGTAAAAATGTTAACGTGGTTTTTCAAAGCTCTTTCATTTAGGAAAATTTTTAAAAAAAACACAGTTTAAGTGCCTTATACTAAAAGTAAAACTATAATTTTATACTACATATATCATCTATCTGTAGAGAATTACCTGGGCTTAAGAGCTGATTAATAACTAATATATTTCAAAAGTTATTGAGCTTTTTAAAAATCACCAAATACCTAAAATTATTCACCTAAATGAAAATCATCTAAATCAAGACTTTTTTCGATTGTTTGCGAACTTTTGTGAACCCAGATAAAGCAGCATTGGAGTAAGTTTTTAAATATTTCAAGTTTGACCACAAACGCTTTTTATTTTCTCAAAATTGTTAGTTTTCTCCCTATTGAACGTTTCGCGCCACTTTAGAGAACAAGCATAGAGGGCGCTAGTTAAAGAAAGGGTAAACTTGACCTAACAGTCATTAGTAACTCAGTTCAGTTAGCATATTATTCAGATCAGTTAGCATATTATTCACAAAATAGCATTTAATGGAGGTCATTTTTAATTGCTTGTACTTTAGATTCATTAAACACTCCTTTTCTCAGCTGTCCATGTTACGTTTTTCTGGGTAGCGTTTTATTTGAGGCATGCACTATGTCATGTTTCTGTACGTTCGAGACATACGGTAGAATGGTAGAAATAGTTCAAATCTGGGTACACAGCCGCGAAGCGTCTTTAACCCATTCATCGAAATTAGGTGGATCTGAGATATTGTTTCAGTCACTAGTAATCTGAAAATAGAGAAAAAATAAAAGAACACAGCGAACTGTGATCTTACAAAAACAAAAAGTTGAGAGGGCGTGGCTTCATGGAAACAGGCATCTGATTGGTCGATGGTAAAAAGTTTTTGCTGAGTTTGTAGATGTTGTTTCAGGTGCTCTAGATTTTATGAGTCCGATCAATAAATTGAAGACTTCTCCATTTTGAATAAGTTTTTCAAGTTCTGTGAGGAGTAAAAGGAATCTGGCAGTAGGGGAAACATCTTTTTCCATAGATCTGGTGTTGTTCGATCTTGTGTTGTTGACTTGTTTGTGGGACCTATCGAGACATACAGAGTTGCCAACTTGCTCTGCTTTGTAAAATAATATTTTCTAGTGGTAATGAAATTTAATTTATTTTTAGTTCAGTATTTTTCATAAGTAACCTTTCCACCACTACATATCAAAAGTTCAAAGTATCATGAAATTTAATACAGTGGCTAACTTAAGATTAAAGGACAAAGCAGTGAAAGTTCACAAATTTGAAAACATCAAATTTGTGAACTAGACTCAAGCAGGATCTTGTCCCTGCATTGCAGAAACTGGGGCCTTGACCCAGTACTGTAACCAGAACATCTTTTCTCCCTTCCGGCGATTTTGGCCACCTTACAACAGACTTGACTTTCGACAAGAAGAAGCTTATTCGGAGATTCGCCTAGATATAACAGAAGCAGTGTATAGGATCGAAGGTCCTATATAGTGTCTATAAGATGCGTATTCGGAGATTCGCCTAGATATAACAGAAGCAGTGTATAGGATCGAAGGTCCTATATAGTGTCTATAAGATGCTTATTCGGAGATTCGCCTAGATATAACGGAAGCAGTATATAGGATCGAAGGTCCTATATACGAGTAGTTATTGATTTATTTTCCATGTCCGTAACGTGACAACCAACCATCATATGAAATGCATTTTTACTGCAGCTATCTTGCGGCGACACTTATAAAAAAGAGACATAATTATTTTCACTCTAAAAATTTTTTATATTTCATTCGCTACCAACTAAGTAAAACTTTGACATAAAGTGGAGCATTTGCCTACCCGGGTTACTGTATCTTTATTGCTTTTTAGTTTTGCTTCATAATTGACTCCAATTTTCTTTACAATTTAATACTAAAATAATATTACATTTATCAAATTTATAACATTATGCATTTTCTAGTTAGCAGGCACCAACAGCGTAGATGCCACAAAAAATCTACTTTTCCTGGATCTCTCTGTTCTATTCCCAAGTGTAACTGGTCGAGCTTACAAGTTAGCTGGTAATTTAAGCTCTACAATTGGATATAAAAGAGATGGAAAAGTTGACCTAACTCAACCTGATTTACCTTTTCCACGTGCTGATATTGAAGGAAGCATTCAACCAAGGTAAGCTCTATACAGAGTGAATTAAATTAGATAGAGAGTTTTCAAATTTTTAAAGAGAAAACAGTTGTAGTAAAAAAAAATCGCGTGGTAAATTTATGTGGCAAGGCATAAGCTTTTACTCGACAGAGTGTTTGAGTTTAGATCAAAAATAAGTTATAAATCAAAGAAATGTAGTTAAAAATCACATAACAGATAGTCGCATTAAGACATGTGATTTCAGTAAATAGAAAACATTTCAGAAATATTAAAATATGATTTTCATTTATTAAATGATTTCGAAAATCTTCGATGGAAGTTATTTATTACTTTTCATTGGTTCATAGGTCTATAAGCTGCAGTGCTGTCGGTTTAAAAAAAATTTAATTAAAATCAGAAATTCTAAAAGGAACAATTCATACCAATACACATAAATGTGAAGATTTTCTGATGACTATTTTGCTATTATAATTTTTAGAAAAATGGCAACCTGCTTTTTTATAACCAAGTAATTGTTTCAATTAAATGTCTGTCTCAATGATAAAGAGGCCGATACGAAAAGCTTTAATTTAAATTACACATTCGAATAAATTAGAACTAAAAATTTAGATTAGTGTTGAAGTTATTAATTTCACAATAATTTCCAATTGAATAAATTTAAATTGAAAGATTGCAAACGAGTTTTTAAAAAAAAACTGAAATTCCGCTAATTATATAATTTTTTTTTAAATATAGTATAAAAATTGCTTTCAATAAATTATTTTAATCACTTGATAAAATAAATCACATTCGAAAATTAATTTCAAAACTTACTTTATATTGCATTAAAGAAAATGATAAAATTAAGTGATTCTTAATTTTATTTTAAATATTTTCTCCAAAAAATTTTTTAAAATTGTTGCATTCAATTTTCTTAAAGTTATTCCTATCATGCATTAAAGGAAATAATAAAAGGAACTGAAATTATCATCAATTAACTGAAATTGTCATCAAGATCATAATTACGCAGGTTAACTAACAGCTTAAGGAGCAATATCCCTCTTCCTTTATTGATTTTTCAAGTAAATGGTAGTTTTTGGGACACCTTGTATAATGGTTTTTCAACTGATAACAACCGTGGTGACTCTTGTTTTGGTTGCAATTTTGTGTCATATGGCCGTACAGTCAAATTGCCTTCATCACTTTGAATCAAAGAATAATTTCTTAAATTGTAACTTCGAATTGTATAAACCTAAAAAACCTTAATATATATCATTATTTTTACTCATTTTCAGCATCTTGATTGATTCAAGCGCTTCATTCACAATACATTCAGAGAATTTTGAACCAGGAGTCAGAGTTGATACTGTTGTAAATGCTGGAATAGACTTGGATGCTAAATTTGAAATGAAAGAGGGAAGATTACTGCATTTAAAACTTAAACGCAGACAGAAACGACAAGAAATTGCAAGCATCAAGTAAGCACATACTTTGATTGATTGATCTTTTCCAGGTATACGACGATATTTTTGGACTAAAAAGTTACTATACTATAAAAGTAATACCACTACACACCCATCTCCTTCTACATCAGAAAGCCTCAACGCGGGATTTTACAAGTAGTCTGCGTTGATTATTTAAAAAGAGAAGCAGTTGTGCTCATGAACCCAAATTCTATTTTAAAACTTACTTACTTTATTTAAAAACAACTGGGCATCTGGGTCAGTTCCACATCATCATCATCATCAATATTTATATGGGCGCCTGGGGCCGTTAGTGGCCTTTGCTGAGTTCCGCAACAGTATTACATATTATTATACATGCTTAATTTTTTTAAAAATAATGGTGATCAAAAAGAATATAAATTAATTATAAATGTAAGGAATATATAGAATGCATACATTTTACTACCACTTTAAAAATAGAAATGAAATTTTACGCCAAATGCGTAAAAGTTGGCAGGTATGCAAAACGGTTTCGTCACATATGTCATGTTTTTGCAATAGCGTGCTGGCTTGAGAGACTCTGTGAGCATTTTCACTGATTAACCAAATCCGCAAAAAGCAAAATTCGATTGAAAATCGGTCAGACAGGACATTGGTAAATGCGACCTTAGCACCAGGGATGCCAACTGTTCTGCTTCCTGCAAAAGTTTTAATAAATATTTAGCGAATTAAATAGTAAAACTTGTAGAATAAGAATAATTGCGACCACTTTTCAAACGTGTCACCATGAAAACAGCAATGATGTTGCATTTCATATCATAATTTGAATAGTTGTTAGATAGGGGAAAAATTACTTAAAAGGAAAAATACTAAACTAAAAATAACTTCAATTTCGTTATCACAAGGAAATATTTTTTTACAAAGCTAAACAAGGTAAAGTGATATGCTTTAACTCTTTGTTGTTTGAGGAATAGTGGTTACTAAACATTTAAATGCAATTAGCTTCACATTTTCAGTAGTTTCTGCGGTGTTGCGGACTGACTAAACTGCAGCGGAAAGGGTTATTTACGATATGTTAATCGTTATCTTACCTATATTAACTATTCTGTGGAAAAGAGGGTTAATCAAAAACTATTCAACGATTAAATCATCTAAAATGATAAATGAGATTACCAGATATCTTTTTTTAACCTTTTTTCATTAAAATAATTATTTGAAAAACCAGAAATACTACTACATTATTTTGATAATGATTATAATGATGATAATGATTATGTGGTGATCAAAGAATATAAGAACAACCTGTAAAAGTATTTAGATGGCATTTTACGGTTTTATAAATTATGTCTTACCAGTATCCTCGAAAAACTTAAAAAACCGAAAGTAAATATTCAATGTGAATATTATAAAACTGTTCCTTAAAAAAATCTTTCCTTGTGGAGAAATTAGTTCTCTGTTATGAGAATTTTGTATTGAAGTGGTGAAGTAGGGACTTTTCAAATATCTTTATAAAATTTTTGCTATCAGGTTTTAAGTGTTCTTAGGACACTACAAATCTATGCATGACACAAAGTGAAACGGAGAAAAACTAAAAAGCAAACACAAGAAATGGGGTAAATGTCACGAAAAAAGATAAAGCCATTGATGGTTATTTGGCACACGCAAAAATAGCTGAAACAGTATTTTTATTGTTTCTATCTTCAAAACTAGGCAAGGATTTAACTAGCTAAGATTTTTGAACAAGATTTTGTATAACAATTTATATTTATTTATTTCAGGCGTACTTTATATTGTATGAATGAGAAAGGAGAAACTGAACTTCCAAAGCCTCAGTCTTACAATCTGAATTACTGTACAAAATATTTACAGTATCTTACTGGTGCTAAATACTGTGCTTCAATGGTTCTTCCTCACATTTACAATGCACAAGGAAAACCGAAAGTTCCTTTTGTTCGAGCAATGGAAGCTTCTTTGGTAGTAGAAGAAACAGACTCCAGCATGGATGGTTACGAATTTCTTCTAGAAATTCCTAAATGGGGGGTAAATATCTTTATTTCTATTTTTTTTTTAACTTTTCCAAATTGCACAATCTTAGAATCAAAAAATTAGTAAGAGAAATTTGACATTAAAAATAATATGTAAAACCAGAAGAATCCGATCCGAATCCGATTTGATTTGATAACATTGGGCATACCCTCCAACTGCTACGGAATTTCCGTAGTTTCAGAAATCTTCTTTTCAGACGGTAGCAAAATTAATGTCTTAATATTCAAAAAAAATTAATTTTAGCCTAACTTGTCCACTATTACTTATAAAAGTGCAGGCCATATGGCTAGATTCTTAAATTCTGATAAAAGTTTTATGAGAGATCCATTTGCTTTAAAAATTTCTACTTTGGTTCGCTACCACTAGAAAGAATTATTTTCAAACTCCTCATAAGTTGGATGGTATGACATTGGGGAACAAACTTTTTGTCGCATTTATACAATTGCTTGATCTTATCTAAGTAGGGCTTAGAGATTTCAAACCTTAAATTCAGAGATGCCAACTTGCTCCGGACAGCAAATATATATCTTAAAGTGGTAGTTTATCAATTATGATTCATGGTTTAATAAATTCAATTAGTAGATTTATATCCACCACTATTTCTAAATAATTCGTAGGCTCATATAATTCACCACTTTATAGTACGTATGTCGTCCTATACCTTTCAAAAAGCAAGCAAAAATAGCCAAATATTTACAAAATTTACTTTGTTGTTATTTACCGTTTTTTTTAAAATTATTTTGGCGCGTCCGGAGCAGTTGGCATCTCTGTAATTTAGTTTTGCTCCTAAAGCTCACATTTTCAGTCTATTTTTTTTTCCAAATGTTCACGATTAGAAACATTGTATACAACAATAAATGTTGCAACACATCATCAGAATTAAAATTGCATAAAAACCCGTGCCCAGAAATGTCGTCCAATTCCAGTGGGGGGTGCTTCCATGTCATGAACTGTTTCTTTATGTACTTCTGACCAGGTACTTTTCATTTAACTTTATTATCTTAATTTTTACGTTTCCGTTTATAGTCAAAAATTACATCCAGTAATCACAATTTTGTTGTAATTTAATTATTTGGTGACCTACTTGATTATTTCGCCAAATCAATAAATTAACTAACTAAAAAATCTCGTCATACATGCCTGGAAACTCTTACAGATTTTTCGGAAGATTTTATTTTTATATTTCATGTGGTAGCAAAATTTTTGCATTGATGCTTGATTCTTGTTTTAAAAAGTTTAATTTATTATAATTTTAATAACCACTACTTTTAAATGCTACGTTGCTTTTTAAGTGATGGTGAAAAGTAAATGAAGTACTTGGCTTGGTGCAACATCTCCACATCACTCCTTAAAAAACTCAAAATATGCCAGAATAAAAATCCTCAGGAAAATAACAAGAGCAAGATGGTTTTTCCGCAATAAAAACATACATCGCGACCTCAACATAGTTTTTTTAGATCATCATATTGCGAAGTTAAATTTCAGATTTTTCGAAAAGACCATAAATTGTGACACCGCATGGCAGAAACTGTGCTTATGTAAATCTGCTTATATGTACTTAAATAAGAAAGCTTATATAATTCCCCACTTTATAGTACTTATGTCATTTTATACCTTTTAAAAAGCAAGCAAAAATAGTCAAATATTTTCAAAAATTACTTTGTAGTTATTTACCGCTTTTTTAATTATTTCGGCGTTTCCGGAGCAGTTGGCATCTCTGTATATATGCTGCATATTTTTAGAACTTCATTTTAAAATGAACACATCAGTTTAAAAGTATCCAACAGAGCTCGAATTATGATGCAATGGAACCGCTTCAGCAGTTTCTGGAACCGCATCAGCAGTTTCCACAAGATACTGCGGAAGCGGTTCCAGATGTTAGAGAACATAGAAATTTGGATTGTGCCGCCTAGTTATACTTCATATTTTACACAAAAAGCATTTCATATTATATATTTATTGCAATTTATGCTTTGCATCAATTTTGAAAATTTAATTTTATTTATTTTAGAAATGGGATGACAGAAAATACAGATTTTTACTAGACACCCCAAATTCTTCTATCGACAGAAAATTTGCGCTTGACATCCATGGAAAGAAGGAAGGTCCCGGAAAATATTCAGAATCCCTGAAACTTCACACACCTTTTTATACTACAGAAATCGATGGTAATTTATGAATATTTACTCTTTTTTTAATACTGAATGAAAGTTAAAGAAACATTCAGTTCATTTAAGAGCTAGAAATATAAATTGTACAGTTTAATCTCAATAAATTGGATACCCATGATCTGAGAAAATTCCCCTCTATATCATGCTCTATGAACTATTTTAACTAAATGAATATGGTGGTTAAATAAATGCATAATTTGAAATTAGAAGTTGCATAAACATTTATTTTATCTTAATAAATCGTAATGAATAAAATTCGAAGATTGACTGTACAATAATCTGTTTTTTATATTACATGATTGATGGTTATGGTTGATGGAAAATTATTGAAAGATTATGGATAATTTACAATTTAATAGAGAGGTTTAATTAATGAAAATTATATATTTAAAGCAACATTTTCTTTCGAATGAAAAATAGGGAATTATAGGCCGAAAAAAATAAACAGTAAAATGAAAAGAACCATTGCAATATTTCATAAAAAAGAACCCTTGTAAGGAATATTCAAGAATATAAAATATCATTTGGACGGACAAAATTATACGACCTGTAACAAGCTACATAGATTCAGATAGAGATTTCAGTTGCAAAAAAAGAAAAGCTTTTATTTTGGTTTTATACTTTGAGATGCGTTGTTATAAACGTTGTTGTTGTATACAACAACGTTTGTCGGGAACATTTTATCCCCTTTTTAGTTTGAATATTACATATATATACACCACCGGTGTGAGAAATTAAGAGAATTTGCAGACTTTGTCAATTATCTCTAGAACAACTGGACCGATTTTAATGAAATTTGCTATGTACATACATTGATACAATACAAAACAAATGACCATTCAACAATTGTAATACAAAGGGATGATCAAGCGTATGTATTACAATTGTTGAATGGTTATTTGTTTTGTATCGTATATTAATTTTAACCAATAATACCAAAATGCATTGTTTTATAAACTGAAATGATATTTTTAGCTATTTTAATTACATTTCAGCTAACGTAATGAATCAAGATGACAACTTTAAACTGAACATAAAAGCGGTGGGTAATGAAAAAAGAAGATATGACCTTTCCTTAGATGTAGGAAAAACAGTTAAAGGCGCCAAATTGGTAGAATATAGTCCACAACTATCGCTTTCTCTACCTGGTATGGCACCAGTTGAGATGTCAGGTACCATAGTATACGCCAGAGGACGAAAAGAACAAATTACTATTAATCTTCAGTCGAATAGTTTTGGTTCTATGACAATTAAAGGTAAGATTTTTTATAGGATATTAAATTAAGAGTTATAAATGGTACATTCACATGCAACCATGCTTATTATCCGATTTCATACAGTTCTAATCTAAGTTACAATATTGAAATTTATTTTATAATATTCATAGAGTCTTACACCTTCAGAAATAAAACTCTCGCTTTTGACGATTCAACAATCTTTGAGCTATATTTCGTTAATTATGAGAACCATTTCGTCATGAAATCACTTTATTTTTGATGAAAGGGGAGCACTTAAATGTAAGACGAAAATGTTTTCTCAACTTGGAAGCTTATCGCTATCTTACCACCAAAATCCAAGAAAATGCTTCTTAATTTGACGAAACTAGGATGATGAAATACGAAATATTTCTTTACTTTTGATGAATTTCATTTCCTCAAAAAGTGCTAAAAAGTGACGATAGTTATTTCGTTACTTTGACAAAATGTTCTCACGGAGTTACATATCAGGACACGGTTTCGTCAAAAACAAAGGAAGTTTCGCGAAATTTGAGAATTCATTTTTTACAATGTAACAATATTATCTAAAACTCTTAAATAATCTTGCTAATACTCGAGTAGATTTACTACTCATTGAGACAAAACCTTAGAATCTGTAGTTTAGAATTCTTAACTGAAGATCAAGACTTAGAAATATTCAACCCTTTCCCTTTTTTTGCGTTGCCTGATCGATACCGACAAAGTTTCGTGGAGCGCTAAGGACTAAGGAGATTACAAAAGCAGGATTCCCAGTGCTCTGTCAAAATTTATCAAGTAGTATCACAATTTGTGTCCCAAAATGAGCTTCTTATTCAGATCAACTTTTCCTAAAACGTACCTGACCACCACAATTATCCATTAACTCAAATGAGAAAATAGAAATTTGGCATCTACTAGAAACGAAAGTACAAAAAAAATTAATGCTGAAATACTCAAAAGGGATACTTGCATACTTTTTAAAAATCACGCAATTCTATCAAATAAATTTAAAATTATTTTAAATTATTATCGAGTTTAATTAATCGAAATTTAAAAAAAGGAATTCTCCAGGGCCAATTTACTTCACTATTATGCAGCTACCAGCACATGGCGCTTTTAATTATAACTTTATTTTTGCTGTAAATGCACAACATTATATTGAAGCATTCAATTAATGATTTTGCATGTCAAGTTTTATCTCTATTATTTTCTCTTGCTTTCTTCTAAATAATTCGTTATTAAGACAACCTCAAGACAAAGTAACACATGATGAACAGGTGAAAACACCTAACGGGCCCGAAAACAGCCATATGACTATCACTGGATACAAAGATTTTGAACTTAAATTTCTAAATCAGAGAATAACATTCAACATTTACAATGAATTTGAATATTTTTGATAGATTATTGGGAGCCCAGCAGAAGATAACACTGTAATGTACGAATCTAACTAATATTTAGCGTCAGCGCTGGAGCTGGTAGCGGAATTCGTATCTACCAGTCATCGCTGGGATTCGAACCCAGATCACATTATTGAGAGATGAGCGCTCTAACCCCTGACCGACCCCGTCTCATCTTAATATATTTATAAGAAATCAGTGAAATTTATTTTCGCCATCTCAATAGTCAATATAAAATGAAAAAGACGCAATTCACTACATAGACACCGGGCAGAATAATTCAGTTGTTTTAGGCATGAAAAAAACAAACACCAGAATAAACTTTTTCTTTCACTATTTACTTATCAGAAATTTTTTTCTGAGGCATGATATACATAATTTAGCTATCTAATATAATTCCTGAATTATTGCAATCTAAAACTTAGGAAAATTAAGCTGTTTTCCATTATAAACACCAACCTCTTGAATAGCAAAATTTTGAAACATAATATGACTTTATTTTACAGGAAATCTTGCAAAAGAGGGAGAAACTATTGGATTAGACTCTGATTGGCGACTTCATAATGATTTCAATATAACAGCGTTTTCAATGATTCATAAAGTATACGGCACAATAGGAAACCGTGTTGGAAAAGGTGGCTATCTAAATGTTGGCCATCACTATGAACCTGATGGACGTAGCTATGAAAGTGTAACTATTAATGCAGCTTTGGAAGACATAAAATTCCGTGGCCGTCTAGGTTTCAAACTAAGTTCTGCAATACTTCTAGCAGAACACCAGGATCTAAACACTATGCTTAAGTGGGACTTTAGCTTAAATCCACTAGAACATCTCAAGAATGACATAATCTTTAGATACGGTGAAAACTTTGAAGACGATACACATCTGGTTCGAGTAACACAGTCCCTTGCATTTGGGGGAGATTTCGATACATTCCAAAAGTTAGATATTGAAAACAAGCTTGGCTTGACAATTTCGTGCTTTGATTTTGATAAGGCAGGGGCTTTATCAATTGTTTGGGACTTTGTAGACAAGCCTAAATTTATGGCTGAAGTTGGTCTAAAATCTAATAAGGAAAATCAGGTATATTTGAAATACGATTACACGCATGTTTCCGAAACTCCTCTAAAATTAGCATCTGAAGCAACTCTTATATATTACAAAACCAAATTGCTTTATCGTAATCAGCTTCAAGAAGTAGGAGCAAATGAATATCAGGGCAAGGCGGTCTTGGAACCAGCTGAAAATAAACAAATCAGCATTGACTATACCTATAGAGTCAAAAGTGAAGACCACTTTCACCGTGAAATTGAAGCCTCAATTGACTTCCCTGGAAGGCCAGTTCCTGTGAAACAGAAAACTGTTGTGATGTATTCACCTGCTGAAATTCAAATAAGCAGTACCACTGATTATGGAACTGGGTCACCTCATACTTTAGATTTTAAGTGGAAAAGAGGCGTGAAAGCAGAATTTTCTATTGACACTTCTTATATGGAAGGACAGTTTGCTGTGGAAAACCAATCTCCAGTGCGCTCAATTAAAGCAGAATTCAATTTGAAAAAAGTCCTCAACAAAAAAATTTCAGTTATAGGAAGTGTAACGCCAGGAGATCCTAATCTATTAAACGTGGAAGTTGAATGGGAAGGTGACGGTTCACAAAAAAAAGTCGTCATTGATGCCAAATCAAACAAAGGCACCGAAGATGGAATAGAAAAATACATGATAACAGCGACAGTTAACTATGTGGGTGCTATTAGTGTTGATATAACGGGCAAAGTGAGTACAGATTTGTTGAGAGGACCACATTACTTCAGGGCTGATTATACTGCAAAAGAACCAATCGCCATAGAGTTTACACACGAAATCAAAAACGGCAAGCTTGTAAGTTTTGGTCGATATTTGAACAATAACGCTGAAAGACTTAGAATGGATATTAAAGGTAAAATGGAGTTAACCGGTTATAAATTTGAGTTGGATGGAGGGATATTTATGACTTCGCCTTACAAATCTCTAGATGGAAAAGAAATCTCCTTTAGAATCATGGCAGATTCCACTGACGCTGTAAGAACATTCATTTCGGAGTACCGAATTATGCCGGTGTCTTTCATTAACTACGCCGGAAAATTAGAATATACTAGAAAAAGAGGATGGCCTGGTCAAATCAAATCTATTGCACTGGTATCAGTTCATAATAGGCCCTCAATTGAAGCAACTACAACTATCGATTATGGAAATGGAAAGTATTCTCTTAAAAGTAGCTTGACGCCTCTTTCAAGGAGAAAAATCAACTTAGTTTCTACATTTGAGCATTCTGGTAGATTTGCTGCTTTCCATCATTCCTTAGCTACATCGTTTGAGTATTTGCAGACTGTCGACCTTAAAGCAGTTGCAGATCTTAGAAATATGGAAGATGCCAAAATACACTCGAACTTTGACATAAATAAGCACAAACTCTATGATGTGAATTCAACTTTGAAATTCCGTACCCTGATTGATTTTGATGGACAGCTTACAATATACAGCAAAATAACACCGTCTCTCAAACTTTTCTACAAAACACAAGCATCAGGACAGATTTCCAAATACGAAATGAATCTTGACGTTGATTCTCAGAGCTTGATGACTGGCAGTGGTGAAATTAAAAAAAGAAAGAAGGGATTTAACGGCGACCTCATATTTAAGTACAGAGAGAAAGAGTTTTTGGCACTAACAATTTCTCAAGAGGCAAAATCTCAAAGAGAAAGAAATTATGTAATAAAATCAAAAACACCTTGGCGAAATCATATTGGATCCATTAAAGTCATGAAAGACAAAAAAGGTAGTTCCAAATATGAAACTAAATTCTGTAGAGAAAAAGAAGAAGATAAGTGTATAAGTATCGATCTTGCTCATAAAGAAATTCCGGACGGGAACGAATGGAACGTGTGTTACAAACGCCAAGAAGTAGACTTCTGTATTGAAAGAATTAGAGCAGACACAAAAGAAGTTTCCCGTTATCATACTGTTATATATAAAGGAGACACACGTTATGGTTACGATGTAAGGTTTGGAAAAGAAGGCAATGGATTAATGACAAGTGCAGGTCTCATCCTTCCATCTAGAGAAATAGTGAACAAACTTATTGTGGAATTTTCTCTCAGCAAACCAAAACTGAAATGGGAACTTAAATTAGATGCTGCTAAAAACCCTGATAGGAAGTTGAATGTAGACTTGCGATTTGATAATCATCTGACTGACAATCAAGCATCAAAATTGGATATAACTATCACTCACCCTATTTATGAAAAAGTAAGTTGTAAGATTTTTATCATAAGCTGTCTTAAAATTATAGCTTCATGTTATAATTCTATTTTTAATTCCTGAATTATAACGTTTTTTAATATTTTATCATATGCAGTCATAAGCTTAATGTTTTATCATAAGCTGTCTTAAAAAATTATAACTTCATGTTCTAATTCTATTTTTTTCCTGAGTTATACCTTTTTTTAATATTTTATCATATGCTGTCATAAGCTTAATGTTTTATCATAAGCTGTCTTAAAAAATTATAACTTCATGTTATAATTCTATTTTTAATTCCTGAATTATAACTTTGTTTAATATATTATCATATGCTGTCATAAGCTTAATGTTTTATCACAAGCTGTCTTAAAAAATTATAACTTTATGTTATAATTCTACTTTTAATTACTGAGTTATACCTTTTTTAATATTTTATCATATGCTGTCATAAGCTTAAGGTTTTATCATAAGCTGTCTTAAAAAATCATAATTTTCTGTTGCACTTCTTCTTCATTTATATCAATTTTTAATGTTTTCAATTTTAAAAAAAATTTTCAACTATTACATGAAAAGATATATTTTGTAAAATTTTTATTTTTGAAAAAATATTTCTATTTGAAAAGGAAGCAGACGAAGGAGAAATAACTCTTTCACTTTCGAACGGAGAAACGAACACACTTTCTTTTAGACTTGCTTTTTTTTCCATTGCCCACCTGTGTTAACATCCTTCAATTCAAGCATATACAGGGCGATTTTGTTGGCCTCTCTTTCAGGGGCGCCATATTAGGTGGGCTAACGTCGCTCCCACAGTGAGGACAGATAGTACTGAGAAGGAAAGAACATCCATGCCTTTACCCGGGATTCAAACCCAGAACCTTTCTGATGCAAGGACAGTTCCCTGCCCCCTACACAGGCCAGTCGACACAAAAAACTCTTATGAATGTTAAAATTACGGATAAATTTAAACACAAATCACAGTAATAAAACCCTTCAGAACATCATGTCTGTTGAAAAATCTCATCGAAGGTATTACATAAGCGGAGGGATACACCGGAAACTTTAAAACATCATTGTATAAACATCTTTCATTAATAGAAATATCATAATGGCCAAATGTTTGAATTTTTCTTACCAATTTTAGTGACAGCAAAACGTCTGCTTTATTGCGTAATACTGTATTTATAAATTACTTACATTTAAAATGCTTTTGACCACCACTTCATATAAATTAATAAACAGAAATACAAAGCTTAATAATCAAACAATGGTTAGTTTAAAACGATGAATAGTTATTTAAATAAAAGCATTTCTTACAATTATCAGTGCCATTTTCCTTAAAATATATTCAAATTTATTTCTTCATTGTTGATATTATAATGCAATGTTTTGTTTTAATAAGTCTATTTTAAATATTCAATTCTATTTCAGCCAATCGAAATAAAATTAGTTGGAGACTTAGAGCTATCACAAAACAAAATATTTACAGGAGAAATGTCTTTGGATTATTCAAATGACCCTGAAGACAAGCTCATCGGAAAACTGGCTGTTGAAAAGGGTCCTGTTCCAACTGCTATTCTAAATATTTACCATCAAGGTGAGTAACAAAAACATGAATAGCTTTCCTTTGAAATGCTTAGTTGGTACCAATGGTAAACCTTGTGCAGGAAATCCGAGATGCCAACTTGCTCCACTTTGTAAAAATATATTTTCTAGTAGTAACGCAGTTTAAATTATTTATATCTTAGTACTTTTCATTTTAAGTAACTTTTCAACCACTACATATCAACAATTCAAACCATCAAATGAAATGCAGCTTTATTGCAGTCATCTCGTGATGCCTGTTATAAAGAGTAGGCTAATTATCCTTATTCTACAAGTTTTACTATTTAATTTGCTACCAATTTGCTCAAACTTTTGTGCAGAAAGTGAAACATTTGGCAACCCTGAAGGAAATTTAAGCTAAAAAAGTAATAACAAATACCAGATAGAAACTTAGCTATCCAATTGTTAACCCTTCGATGCTCCCTTTTGCTTAGCTGCAGAGCTACAGTTTAAATTGGATTTTCCACCAGGATGTCTCCACTTTTATGCTACGTAGGACGTGGTAGGAAAAAGGCGATAATGCATTTCAACTTACGATGCGATAGTTTAAGGTCATATGTTTTCTTAAGTTTTGCTTTCAAAAGAGCAGATGAGTATATAGCTATGATTATAAACCTATATAATCCTTATAAACATGTACATGCAGACAACAACAAGGAAATAAACTAGACCGAAAATACCGTTTTGAAAAAGAATCTGTAGCTTTTAGAATAAAACTGAATTCAGATTCGTAATCCCTAAACCCGAATAAGATAAGGTCAAGTACTTGTATAAATGCAACAAAAAATTTTCCCCCCAGAGTTACTTTTTACTTTTAAAAAGTATGGAGTGATAGGTTAAGATAATTTGACAAAAGAATTGCCACAAGCACAACCCATGGTGGCGATACGCAGAGAAAGTGAAACTTAATAGTTATTACGTAAAGCAAATAAGCATAAGGAAAAGAGGCATAAGTATTTTACTCCTACCTTGGCGATGGTATGTAAGGGAAACCATATTATTTTAGCTTAGAGTAAAATATCTATGACAAGCAGGATTTTTTAAAAAGTTATTTCAAACAAATACAACTGTTTATCATCTTGGGAAAATAAATAGTAGTGGAAAATTTATAAATAAGAACAGCTTTATTTTACCCCTCTCAAACATCGCTGATAAATAAAATTGTTTGACTAAATTATTTATTCCCTTGACCAGCTGTCAATTGCATTGCATTGAAAGTAGATGAAATATTTTGTATTCAAACGTTTTGGGGAAAAATTACCTAATGAATCATTAAAAAATTTTCAAAATACCACTAGATTTTAAGTTTTAGTTTTAAAACGCAAGTTTGACTACCAAAAATTACTTATAATTAAAAAAAAACATAACATGCTTTCTTTTGGTGCAATTTTTTAAAATTCAAGTCGAAACTTAAAATAATATGATCAATTTTTTTAATTGGATTTCATTCTTTCATATAAAGATCTTTTAGTGGAAAGTTCTATTTCTAATTTTAAGTTGCTTTCATACATTTAGATTTTGTGGTAAAATTGAATGGAACTGTAAATGAAAATGAAGAATATTTTGGTTTAATATGGAATTGGAAAGACGACTCAAATGTTGATCAAGAAGCATTTATTGTATTTAACTGGTTGTTTAAGGAAAGAAAAATCTCATTTGCAGTAAGTTCAATTACTTAACTATTTCTCTGAAAGAAACCATGTAACAAGTTTTAGCTTTCCTTCTAGGCCTGGATAGCCTGGTTGGTAGGGAGCTAGGCCCATGTCCAAGAAAGAGCAAGTCCGATCCCTACAGGTTAAGACTCGCCGTGTAGTAAATTGTGACTGGTTTCACGTTGTTAACCCCTTGGGGACGGGTAATTCAGAAAAGCATTTATACAAAATCAGAATCAGGATGCAATTAAATAAAAAACGGTAACTTAAATGTAGTCATTGCTAATTTGACAGACTTACTTTGCTTTTACTTTAATTACTATTAGTTTAATCATTTATATAATCAATGTTAGTTCAAAGCATAACTAAATAGTTTTATTTTGAACAAAGTAATGGTGAATTAAATAAATCAAACAATTATAACTCCGGCCACAAATAAACTGCTAAAGAATTACTTTGATTACCAGTTTTATCTTTTTACCGTGGTTGATACGGCTTTATGCTGGCACGTATTTGTAACAGTCGGCGCGAAAGGGTTAAATCTATCGAGTCTCTGAGTCCTCCATGTTCCCATAACAAATTATTCCTCTGGCGGTACTGATTGATCGTTCTAAGATTCAGGTCAGAATTACGATCTGTGGATGAATGGGTCCGACCGATAAACGGGCTATGACGGGTGTGTGATTAAAGTCGTATTTTTGACCATAGATGGCGCCACCGAAAAACAAAAAAACGCATCCTCTTCCTTAAATTCTCTTGGTTTCACCTAACAGGCTTGCTGATATTCGCAAGTGGCATTAGAAGCAACAACAACGGTTTTTCTTCTATTTCAAAAAGCTGAACTGTATTTCAAAATAATCTAAGAAATTTTTCATCATTTCTAACGGACATGTTTGTAATTTTTATATTAGACCTTTAATTAGCATTGTACTTGTACAGTGCTTGGTAGTTGTGAGAAAGCACCTTTTAGAAAAAAAAGTGGTAGGAAATTTGCTTTTAACATATTTCATGCGGAAAACATTTCCAAAAAATACATTACTACACACTAAAATTTTAAAAAGGCAGTAGGCAAGATTTCATAAAAGTTAAAGCAAACTTGTGACTCCAACTTCGATTCAAAAAACAAATTTATGGCGAATGATTGTAGTACTGATTGTATAGATATTGAATCCTTTATATTTGCGGTTTTTACGAATGGATAATTTCTTTGAAAAACAGGCTGGAAATGAAATAGTTTTACTACCATTTTTTAAACTTTTGTATGGATCGCCGAAATTTCAAAAACGTATTTTTAATGTGACCCGCTTGCAATAACTTAAGCTATGTTTATAATTTCTAGCATGTCAATCACTTTAGAGTAAAAAATTTTTTGCCATGGATAATTTCAAATGAAAATATAACTATTTACAATATTAATATATTACGCTTAACTCGAATGTCTTTGTTTACCCGAAATAAATTTATAAAACGAAATAATTAAATTACCATAGTTTACATTTTTGAAACTTCGTTTCGAGTTAATTGCGCTTAAAATTTTGTGATCAATAATCAATATAAATGCATAAAATTTTAAAACTAACTATAGCGCATTCACACCAAGTGCACAAGATATTTCTTCTTTATTATTTTATCTAGACCTTTATTTAATTATTTCCATTATTTTTATACTTTCAAGAACTGATCTTGCCATTTTTCTTGCCCGTCTTTCCTTATGTGACACCTCATTTTTTTTCTTTTTTTTTAAGGAGCAGCCGAAATTCTGCGGTAATCTTTAATATTTATATGTAAATTTTTTTCTATCTATCTATCTATATATATATATATCTNAGCCCATTGTTATAGATGGAGGGTGGTCATAATGTAATGGCTCTTCGGAAATATATATATATATATATAAATTTACTAGCATATATATATATCGCAGCGAGTCCTGCGTCTCTAGAGGCATATTATGCTGCAACTGCTACAATTTTACAAAACTAAATTCAATATTTCAGCACAGCATAATAATTTTAAAAGTATAAACTATCTAAAAATATGTAAATTTCTTCTCACATTTAGAAAATTTTGTTGCTCCCGCTTAATTTTAACCTGTTTAATCCATGCTAACTCAAAATACTTTAGGCGTTATTTCCCCTCTGAATTTCGTTAGAATTACGCTATTTTCTTCAAATTTCTCTTATTAAATTGATTATTTAGGGTCCTTCTGAGATATTTAGCCACATAAATAAAGATATTTAGCTACATTTACGAAACTATACAAAGGCTTGCAAATCTGTAACAAAATGTATAAATGACTTTTATTTCAGTATTCATAAGATACAGCAGTACGTTAATATTCATACTTTATATTAAGTATATCATTTTATCTCAATTTTATTGAATTCATATTTTAAACGAATTATCTTAATTTTATTTTTCAGTACCAAAGACCAAAGTTTTTCTACAGACTAGACGCTGATATAGTTGCCTCTCAAACACTACTGGATGAAAGTCAAGTCACTGACGTAACTTCAAATTTGAATGGAGAAATCAGCAAATATAAAATTATCAATGATTATGCAACTGGATGTAACAAACTTTATGTTTTAAATGATGATGGTATGTTTGTTAGGATATAAATAATCAAAATAAATACAAATTATTCACATCGAGAAATAATAATAGCTTTTCAGCAAGTTAGCGTAGGAAAATAAAATTTTATTTGAGTTTTTTTAAGATTTAGAGAGAAAGCTATGTCATTAAGAGGGATAATAGATGCAAAGAACCATTTCCTGACTGAAGGAAGCTAGTAAATAAAAATAAATAAATTGTAGGGACAATTAATAAAAGAGTTATTTTATAAAGAAAAAGAGTAAAGAAGAGGCGAATTTTTTTTAAATAAATAATTTAGATAATCATACTTAGCTATATGAACTGATCTTAACACATTCAAATGAATATTCACTAAAATATTTCTTTATTATGGAATCTTTATGAACAAAAGGAAAATTTTAAAAAATTACTGTAATTTTGTTTTTGATGTTATCACAAAATTTTTATTTACGATACAACCTCGACGACAGAATCTATATGCTCTATATACTCATTATCAATAACTGATATTTGCGCCAGTAACAAATGCGAAGATTTGATATCACTTTTAACATTTTTTTTTGAAAGACCGCTGAAAGGCAGGGTTTGTGCAGCTCATAAAAAAATTAAAAAGTGGTGTTTCTATTTTAATAAAGAATGCAAATTTCTTTTTTTTTAGCTTCCAGCTAAAGAATATTTAACTTAAAAAGTTAAATATTCTTTACTTCAGATTTCAAAATTCGATGCATTTTAATAATTACTACAAGCAAAGTAGTTATTAAAATAAATTTATAAATTTAATTTTAAGAGCCGTGGGAGCCATGAAAAAAGGTAATGTAAAGTTGTTTTGCTATCGCCGGGCTTGTAAAAACACAAAAATGATCCCCCTATCTTTCTGTACACTTATATATATATANTATATATATATATATTAGGTCCACCGGAAAATTACGCAAATTCTGTGCACGAAATAAATGCGCCTCATTTAAGTTTGCAAAAGCTGCCTATATAATAAAAAGAAGTGGTTGGACATTTACCCTTAAATATATAAATACTGCTTAGTTTGGTCGGGTACTTTTGTTGCAAGTTTGAATATGAATGCATATTCTCTTTTGCGCCAGATATAATGTGTCTTTTTGATAGGGTAAATACCATATAGGGGTATAGGGTAATAGGGTAAATACCCTACCGCTCTTTTTAATGAAAGAACATTTTGTATTACTTTAAAAGAGGCGTGTTTTTTCTAAACAAGTACTCTCCTAAATAACCCCTAAATAGATCATGAACTAAATTCTGTATCTCAATAAGTCACAAAAAGTAAAGTTTGACTCACTTTTTGCTGCTTATTATTAAAATCCATATATCATACCATATATCATATCATATATGAAATAGTTGTTGAATATGAAATATATGAATTAATCTCGCTTTCTTTATCTTTTTAAAGGAGAAAATAAAAGATCCTATGAATTGTGTCACAATGAAGATGGCAGAAAAATTCTATCAGTTTTAGTTGAAGGCTTAGATGACGAAAATCAGTGGACCTTCCAATATTCACTTGAAATAATACGTAAAAATTGGTGGACCATTGGAATAATAAACAACTTCAATCCTGAATTTTTGGGACAAACTTTGGTAAAATTTATCTCTTCTTTACTCAATAAACTACATGAAGTTATTATAATTTCAATACACAAAACACTTCACGTTTTTAAAGATATACTGTAATTGTCTCGCTGACAGTTTCTTGATAACAAAGGAGATGTTTAATATTTCAATTAGGAAACATTTTCTTTACTGTTTCGTTTAGGGACGCGAAAGGAAGACTAATATTTCGAATTTTATTTCACCTTTAATTTTAGGTCAAGTTTTTATTATCATTAATATCTAAATCTCATTATCCCCAACAGTGACTTTTTTAGAGTGTGAAAATGTTTATATTCCTCACCTACATTTTGCTATATTTAATGAGAATAGCAATTTTGCTTCATTACTACAAGGACTTTTAAAATGCATGTTTAGGGCGATAATTACAGAACATTTTCACTAATAAAGTTGAAAGTTAATGAAAAAAACGAAGAGTCTAAAATTTTAAATTCCTTGCTGTATTTGTAATACTACATACAAAGTAAAATTCTACGACAATAAGTGAGAACTTAATTTCTATGCAATCATCAAGCTCACTAATTAAGTTCCACAGCAATTGTAAAAAGAATTGTTAAAGGTAATGTAGTCGAAATATTATATTATTTACAAAGATAAGTTGCAAAATAAAAGTCTGTGTTAATAAGTGAGAGCTTAATTTCCAAGCTCATTGTATAAGTTCTGCAGCAATAATGAAAAAAAATGGTAAAATGTAATGCAGATGTAATATTATATGTTACTTATAAAGATAAGTTGAAAATTTAAAAATGTCTTGTAATAATACATCTCATCAACAGTACCGTTGAAAGTATATGAAAGAAACGAAGAATCAAAAAAAGTCAAATATTGTGCTGTATTTGTAATACTACACGCAAAATAAGAGTCCACGCTAATAAGTGAGAGCTTAATTTCTATGCACTCATCGAACTCATTGGTTAAGTTTCGCAGCAATTATGTAAAGAATGGCAAAATGTAATGCAGATGAAACAATTGTTTACAAAGATAAGTTTCAAAATTAAAAATGTCCTTTTACAATATATTCTAAACAAGAAATTTCATTAAGATAACTACACTGAAGAGCCAAAAAAACTGGTATACCTGCCTAATATCATGTAGGGCCCCCGCGAGTACGCAGAAGTGCCGCAACACGACATGGCATGGATTCGATCAATGTGTGAAGTAGTGCTAGAGATAATTGACACCATGAATCCTGCAGGGCTGTCCATGAACCAGTGGGAGTAAGAGGGGGTGGGGATATCTTCTGAACATCACGTTGCAAGGCATCCCAAATATGTTCAATAATGCTAATGTCTGGGGATTTTGTTGGCCAGCGGAAGTGTCGAAATTCAGAAGAGTGCTTTTGGATACACTCCCAGATCCTGCAGGATTCATGGTGTCAATTATCTCCAGCACTACTTCACACATTGATCGAATCCATGCCACGTCGTGTTGCAGCACTTCTGCGTGCTCGCGGGGCCCGACACGAGGTTCATTTTTTGGCTCTTCAGTGTAATTACGATTAAATAAGTAATAACGCAAAACAAATTTGTAACTGCTAAAAAGAAGCATTATCAATAATAGTTATATTTCCTTTTAGTTCCGTCTTTCTGCTCTTGGAGATGAATTAACTGCAGCAGGTGTTGGAACTCTTCCCATATCAGACACAGCAAGATACAAAAAGATAAAATCTTCTTTTACCAGCAAAATTGTGCAGCCATCATTAAGATTCTTTGTCCCAGAAGCTACAAAATTTATATCTGGAATGATTAGAGACATTCAGACTTTAAGACAAAAACTTACATTTTACTATCACACTTTGCCGTAAGTTGTACTATTTTTTACATACCCTCCAACTTATGAGGATTTTGAAAATAATTCTTTCCAGTGGTAGCGAACCAAAGTAGAAATTTTTAAAGCAAATGGATCTCTCATCAAACTTTTATCAGAACTTAAGAATCTAGCCATATGGCCTGCACTTTTATAAGTAATAGTGGACAAGTTACGCTGAAATTAATTTTTTTTAAATATTAAGACATTAATTTTGCTACCGTCTGAAAAGAAGATTTCTGAAACTACGGAAATTCCGTAGCAGTTGGAGGGTATGTTTTTTATATTGTCTATGTGCGTAGTGAAACTTACTTACATAATATCGAAAAACAGTTTTCAAAATATTTATACTAGTTTAACCTATTATCGCCCAGCGTCAGATTTATAGGACAGTTTTTCAAAAACATATATTGTGGTAGGACAATAATTTAGGTCTTGGAAAATTAAAAGACTCTCGTTCACCATAATTTATTAATTATTTAGCTTTTCGTGATTATATCTCGAACTATAAGGAACAGGCAATTTTTGAAATGAAATGGTGGCTAACTGTTACAAATAGCCACTTAGTTAAATAATTATATATTATACCACTTTTTTCATTCAGCCACTTTTTGTATCACTTCATTATAAAGAGTCTGGGTGAAAAGGGCTAAAAATAAAAAGTAAATGGAGAAAAAATTAGAGATTCTCCTTCACCGTAATTTATTAATTATTTAGTTTTCCAGGATTATATTTCGAACTATAAGGAGCAGGCACTATTTGAAATAAAATCGTGGCTAACTGTTGCAAATAGCCACTTAGTTAAACATCATATATTATACCACTTTTTTCATTCAGCCACTTTTTGTATCACTTCCATACCTGCAAACTTTTACGCACATGGCGCAAAATTTTATTTCTGTATTTAAAGTGGTAGTAATGGTATGATTTTTATATATTCCTTGCATTCATAAACTTAATTTATAATCTTTCTGATCCACCACTATTTTTAAAAAATAAAGCTTATATATTAATATGTAACACTGCTTTGGTACTCCGCATGAGCTTGTACAAAATATAGCGCATGGTTCTGCCTAAAATTATAATTTAAATTCCATTTTACTACCACTGGGGAAAATCAGCCTTGAAAGGATTAAAAGTTGGCAGGTATGCATTTCATCAGAGATGCCAACTGCTCCGGACACGCCGAAATAATTAAAAAAACGGTAAACTACAAAGTAAATTTTGCAAATATTTGTCTATTTTTGCTTGCTTTTTTAGAGGTATAGCATGACTTAAGTGCGATATAGTGGTGAATTATATAAGCCTGTGAATTACTTAGAAATAGTGGTGGATAAAAATCTACTGAATTGAATTTATTAAACCAAGAATCACAATTGATAAACTACCACTTTAAAAAATATATTTGCTGTCTGGAGCAAGTTGGCATCTCTGTTTTATTATAAAGAGTCGGAATCTGTCTTCATAAAAATGTCAACCTATTGTTCGGATTTGTAAGTATATGAAAGATGGTAAAGATCCTTACAAAAATAAATTAATTTACTGATCATAACTATTTTTTTAAAGTACAGGATTGCCGCTGGCAACTAAAATTGCAAAATTGGCTGATTAATAGAAATCTAAATTTATTATAAGAGATTAAAATTAGCAACTCTTTAAAATGTTTTTGTTTCAGTTTACTATTGAAGGTGAATGCGAAAAATGTTTGTATATGAATAGTCACCTTCGTCAAAAGCGAAAAAAGTTTTGTGAAATTAGAGTATCCTTTTTTTACTGTATAATTTATTATATTTTTTACTTGGAAACCTCCAAGGTTTCAGTGAGTATAATATACGTGCCAACTTTTCCACAAAATTTAATTACCCCGTGATTTTAACTGGATTCATTTAATGGTAAAAAAAGATTTATACTTCAATATTTTAGTATTGGTTTACTAAATGGGATTTAAAATTATATCTACGTTTCACTGGAACATAAAACATTCTCCAAAGATATGCATAAGAGATCGAATAATCATGCTTTTGGTGGTACAGTTTAAAAGATAATTATTACATTACTCTCTCACTATCTTTTTAAAGTTTATGGAAAGCTAAGCATTAAGGTTTACAGTTCTGACTAACCTAGTCTTGAAAGTTTTTCTTCTTTATTTCGCTTATGCAGTTTGTCCAAAATGAAATTGACGGTATTTCAAAATTTATAACTTTAAAAAAGGTGAAGTTAAAAAGGAAAACAATTCTTGCAGCTAATTCATGTGACCGAGCATGAGTTTTTCGCACAAAGATTTTCTGGCTTTAGTTCAAAAATTTTCCAATAGATGGTGCTACCATTTTCCCCTTGCATTTCGAAGCATAAAAACTTTGTGCCAGAAGATGAGCGTAGTGAAAATACTGTAAGGTAATATTTATTCTTTGAAAGATTTCAAAAAATGGACCTACGATTTTCAGAACTAAAAACATAAATTTTTGCTACAAATTTGGATGCCCTGTCAATCGAATGCTTCTGCAAAAATTGTTCTTTTGCCCTTTCCTTTTACTTTAATTTTTCACTTATAAATTTTCAAGATTCGTCAATCTAATTTAAAACACCATGCTTATAGTTAAAAGTATCACTTCACCAAATTTGCATCAATTAAGCAAGAACGTTAAAGGCAATGTCTAACGGCTGATAGGATTTCGAAACCTTTTATAGTTTTCTGTCTTGGTAAAGAAGAAATATAGAGGTTTGCAATTGTAGTTAATGTGAATATTTTAGGTCATTTGAAGAGGTCAGGCACTGTGGAAAGAAGGTATTGGCAATTTCAAAAGCAATCGCCCAAGAAATCTGGAATGTAGTTGGTTCGTACTATAAAAACTACCTCGAAACTACTCTAAAAACTGTTCACAAGTTTGTTGAGCTTGTGAAAAAGGCCTGTGATGACAATATTGAATGTAAAGCTTTTGTAAAAGCTTACCATGACGATGGTTTTAAGGGACTGGTGAAACAGCTGAGGGACTACCTCCTAAGATTGCCAGGTAAAATTATCTTTATCTAGTTTTATTTTAATTTATCCCTTTTTAAAATTTACATTTTTAACACGCTCACGCCGGGGTGACCCACCGGTGGGTCACGCTAGATTGTCTCATCTTGGTAGTACACCGGAGTGAAAACTGGTAACAATAAATTTCATTTTTTAGTTTTTTTCCGGGAATAATAAAAATCCATAACTACCAATTGTTTTTAACGGATGCAATTTTTATATTGAATTTCTTCTTCGCCGTGATAATTTTCCTTACAGTGAATTGTTATTGCGGAGAATAGATTAACTCCTCCCGAATATTATCTAATATTAAAATAGCTCTTCTACCAGTATTTTCCCTTTTCCCGGAGTGAACGTGTTAATTAATAAATTTAAAGTAGAATTTAGTGTTAATCCATCACCTTAACATCGCTAAATAAAGTTTGTTTGATTAGGCCACTGAGAAAATAAGTCAATTTGCACAGTAAAAAATTTTTTAGGAAAGCTTTCAGGTGTATGAAATTATTTTATTCACTCCTGGGGTTGTTTTGAGGTTGATGGAAATCTACTTTAGAGCAACAAGCTTAGGGAGATTATTTTTGAGGTATACGGGTTATTTTTCTGCACTTCAAGCAAAAAAGTAGATTAGAGGTGTGAATAGTTTCACTAGATCTAAACTAAAAGTATCGTTGAGTTATACAGGGTGTCTCAGTTAAGCGTTTCAGAACTTCTAAGAGGGGTAGGGGGCATCCTGACGACTCGAAATCATATAGCAATGTGGGGTCGGAAATGCTTTCCTGAAGCGGTGACGTACACAGAAGCACCATAAAGAAAAGAGACCGTAAGTGAAAAATCGCTATAATAATACATTGAAAAAATTATATGGCCTCCTCGGTCACCCGACCTATTATGTCTTGATTTCTGGAGTCATTTGAAAACACTGGTTTATGACACCCCAGTTGATAAAGCTGGTTGCAAGAATCGCAGTAGCTGCCTGCGAGATATGCCTGGAGTATTGCAGAATGTTCGAATGTCCATGCGCCGGAGACGTGAGGTGTACATTGTAGCAGGTGGCAGAAACTTCGAACATTTACTTTAGCCCATGCACCATATAATTTTTCAATGTATTATTATAACGATTTTTCACTTACGGTCTCTTTTCTTTATGGCGCTTCTGTGTACGTCACCGCTTCAGGAAAGCATTTCCGACCCCACATTGCTATATGATTTCGAGTCGTCAGGATGCCCCCTACCCCTCTTAGAAGTTCTGAAACGCTTAACTGAGACACCCTGTATATATGGTTGATTTTGTGAGGTGTAAATAAGGTTGAAATTGAGATTTATTAATGTGGTTATTTTTGGTGCAAAGCCTCATTTTTTACCTTAAGTTTATCTTTTTGCATCTGTAAACCTCAAAAAACCGTTCGTTGTGAGGGGTACTGGTTCACTCTTTAAACCTTTCCGGTTCAATAATTGTAGTTTGGCAACTTGCATTCCTAAAATGCTACGAACTAAAAAAATTTATGACAGGAGTTAAAGCCCCCTATTAGAACTAAAACGGTGGCAAGAGAAATGTGACATTTTTTCGTTTATTTTATGGATGAAATGAGATGTATCACGTTATGTTTACAATAAGTATTGATATTAAGTTCCTGAAATAAATCTTTAAATTAAAGTGAAAGTGGAGTATTTTGATAGTTATAAGTACCGTTTAAATTTTTTTCAGTAGGCTATGTAAGGACCACTGGTAAAACTTTTATCTTACACCATTTTTTAATCACTACTATTTTTTAAACAACATAGAGATCAAAAATATTTTTCCTACCTAAAATTTAGAGTTCGTGGTCGCTGTTGCATAGTTGCCAACCAGGGGTGAAAGCGAGACGGAAAAGAGGAAAGGCTGGTAGTAAAACCATTTCAGTTATAGCTAGTTTTGGGGAGGAGTTTACTTGTTCTTTTTTTTAATTTTTCAACAATATCTACTTTATCTTGGACTTACTTACTTTATTTACAAAAATTGGGCACCTGGGCCACTTAGCGGCCCCTATCCCATACATCTAGAAATTTACAGAAAATTTATAGTAATAACATTTTGAATTTAGCAGTCGATGTGGTAGCTAATAGAAAAACAAGCACTTTGCTTGAGTAAATATAACATTTGAATATCTGATTCATCGAATCTAAGTTGATATATATAAATATAAACATAATTTGACATATATATACATAAGTTGACATAAATAAATAATAACATAAATTGATACATATTTCACTAATTAAATTTCTATATTTTAACTAGCACATATTTAATTGTGACATACATTGAAGTTCATTCGAATACATTGTGGTAACCATAAAAAAAATTAAGCCGTTTGCTTGTGAAATAATAAAACAATGAAATTTAATATGACAAATTGACTTAACACTAGAAATATTGATTGTAGACTTAAATTAAAAATAAAGATAAAACATGATTTGATATGTACAGTAATTGATTTTTGAAAAATGAAAGGCATAATTGATGACTTTATCTTGGAAAAGAAGCAGTTTTATATATATGCCAGAATTATAAAAGAAATCTTGATAGTTATAGATATTTCATTTTTTTCGAAAAAAAATGCTGGAATGAAATGTTTTCTGTACAAGGTTTTTCTCTTTTCCGTCTTGCTATATAAGGGCTTTCACCCATGTTGCCAACTGTTACGGCCTCTGAAAAATTCTTTTCTTAGTAGCATTAGCGTTTTGGCGTATCTTGAAATGTAATGTTTAAAAAAAATTTTAACTACCACGACGAGTCAATGATTTTTAAAAATAATGTATAGATGAGATCTATTTGTTGGCTTATTGTAGAGATACCATCTGCTCCTGATGCAACAAAATATTTTAAAAAACGGTGAAGAAATACAAACATTAATTTGCAGATTATTGGTTAATATTGCGAAATATTTAAAAGACTTAACACGGCTTATTGTAACAAAATGGCGTATCGCATAAAACTTAGAATTATTTAAAAGTAGTGGTGAGTACAAACCCTATAAATAGAATTTTCTAAAATAAGAACCAAACATTAAAAGACTTCCTCTCGAAATTTATCCGCTTTCTGGAGTAAGCTGGCATTGCTGTTATTATGCGTATAGATGTCTTTGTTTTGTTTTTAGAAAATTCTTTCAAACCTAATGGTTGCCTTGCTATCGCTTTGTAAATTCTTTTTAAACGACCGGTATACATTTTTAAACGACCGGTATACATTTTTAAACGACCGGTATACATGCATTACAGGTATACATTTGCTAATGCAGAGAGGTGAATTTGCTCCGCTTCGTAAAAGAAAATAGTTCCTAGTGGTAACCGAATTTAAGTTATTTTTAGTTGAGTATTTTTCGTTTTAATTAATTTTTCCACCACTACATATTAAAAATTCAAAGTATCATATGAAATTCAACTGTGTTGCAGTTATCTCGTTCTGTAGCTCTTAACTCTTTCGCGCCGACTGTCACATATACGTGACAGCATAAAACCGTATCATTCAGGGTAAAAATATAAAACTGGTAATCAAAGTATTTCCTTAGCAGTTTATGTGTGAGTGGAGTTATAATTGTTTGATTCATTTAATTCACCAATACTTTGTTCGAAATAAAACTATTTAGTTATACTTTGACTTAACATTGATTATATATACGATTAAACTAACAATAATTAAAGTAAAAACAAAGTAAGTCTGTCAAATTAGCAACGACTACATTTAAGTTACCGTTTTTTTTTAATTACAACTTGATTCTGATTTTGTACGAATGCTTTTCTGAATCACCCGTCCCCAAGGGGTTAAAGAGCAGGCGTAATTGTCCTTTTTCTACAAGTTTTCCGATTTAAATTACCGCCAATTTATGAAACTTTTGCAAAAGCCGGAGGAGTTGGCATCGTTGGCTAATGTGCTGCTTGTCTTAATTTTAGTCAAAAATTGTTTGATTGGAAAGGTTTAAGTAGTCTGAGAAGAATACCTTAAAAAACCGCGTTTTTTATTGCATAAGGCGGACAGTAATTACGCAAGAGGAGCTGAAATAAAATCAATAATTTTATATTTTGACGAGGTTTATATGGCACACCCTATACATTTTTCTCTGGTTTTCGCCAATTTTTTTTACCTTTTTATTAATTAAAAAGTCACTGAAAACAAATTATGAACTCTCATTTGTTGAAATGGAATACGCTATTGGAATACAAAAATTAATTTGAATTTTTCTATATATAATGCTTTTACAATCTTTTACTGTGTTGAAAATCATATTCTTTTCATCATCGTCTTCACAAAACTTAGTAATTCAGTATTTATTTATCTTTTCAGATCGAATTCAACACTTTTTAAGTCAAGAACATCCAGAACTCAGAAATTTCATGGGCAAAGCTGTTACTTTATTAAAGGAATTCCTTGAGCCTCTCACAAAGTATCGTTGTGGTGAAATTGTTGTAAAAGTTGTTAAACTCAGCTACGAGAAGCTGGAACCCATTGCACAAAGATTTTTACGAGATTTCCCATCTTATTATAGAGCTGTTAGAGGAAAGATCGTCTCTAATCCATACGTTATCCAAGCAGCAAAACTTGCAAAAGAAACTTACTTGAACGTAAGATAATTTTTAATTATTCTGTCAGTTGCATGGTATGTGATATTTTAATATATTGCTATTTTATAGTTTTAAAGTTGCTTTCCAAATTAAACATAAATTAAATTTAAACTAAAAAATTGAAGATTGACGAGTTTAAAACACAAAACAGCGAGAAAAAGCACAAATAAAAGTACACCAATTGACACGCTGCTATAGTTCCATAGTTCCATCCTCGGTGTCTAAATGTCAAATGAAGGTAAAGAAGTAAAGAGATGAACACGCGTAAAGCGGTTTAACCAATAGGGATAAAGGAACAAGTTTGAATTAGGAAATATTTCCATGTTCAAATACCTTTATTTGACTTTTAGACACAGAGGAAGGTTCTTGTTTGTAGAACTGTCTATTCAGGCTCTTTCATTTGAGCTTTTTTCACGTTTTTTCTTTACTTTAGTCTACATAGCACAAATTATACCCCTTGTTTTGTTGGATAGATGGGTTTATTTCATTGTTTTCAAGACTGTTAGAGAATCAGAGAATCCGCATGACGTAAATTAGCTTTTTCACGATCAATCAATCCACAAAAATTTGCCTCTTCTATACTGCAGTAAATAATTGAGTATTTAAATATACCGGCATTCGGTAAATGATGTGAAAGTCTTAGGATTTTGTGAAAGCACATAGAAAGGCAATGGAGGCATACACTGCCCCCTAATATTAAAACTATATCTTTAAAAAAGCAGAGGTAGCAAAACAAAATTCTCCATCTGCATCAAAAATTTTAGTGTTTGTATGTATATTATAGGTATAAGTACTTGTATACTGCCTGTTTTATCAAAAATTGCTTCAAACTGAAGTAAGGGCTCATATTAATTTTAATTTATTAATCATTTAATTAGAATCAGCCTTTTGGATGCCAAAAAAAGGTATATTTGAAAAAAGTCGGAGTTAGGGTTTTTTAATTTACGCTGAGATTTATACGCCAGGTTTATACTAATACTTTAACTTACCTCATTCGGAGGGGGAGCGATTTCAAATTTGAAATTCGCTTTGCTTCGAAATCTGTAGTGCACAGTGATAAAATATGTTAAAGTACATTTAAATGAGCTTGAAGATATCAGCTTTAAAACGCCAGCTGTTCATAAAACTAGTTTTTCTTAAACAAAATAAGTATCTTTTGAAATATTTATGAAAATGAATTAATGTTCTGTGCCATCAGTATACCATGCTTTGGTCAAAATTTTAAAAATCAAGTTTTTATATAATCCAAAATTGGATTTAACGTGTTGAAAACATACTTAACGTATTCAAGTGTTCTCATTCCTGAAATTATTATTACGGAATTATTTCAATGACATTGAAAAAATTACGACTGTAAATTTATAGACAAGACTCATGATAATGAATCATTGATAATGAATGAATGATAATGAATGAATGATAATGAATGAATGATAATGAATGAATGATAATGAATGAATGAATGATAATGAATGAATGAATGATAATGAATGAATGAATGATAATGAATCATTTATTTAAAATTCCAAAATTTTTCTTTCTTTATTTTTTTCTTTTTTAATTAAATTATTTATGTTGAAAAATAATTTTTAATTAAAATGAAAACTGTAAATAAAAGCTTTTGATTTCCTAATCGAAGTTCAATGTCTAAAATGAAATTTATTTATTTTATTTTTCCTTGCTTGTAAAATTTTTGAAAATAGTTTTAACTTGTTTTAAAATAATAAACACTTTTTCAAAAGAAAAAAAATTTATACATTGGTTTTTAGTTTTGATTTTAGATTTTATCAGTTCTTGCTAAAACAATTACATCCATTTAAGCAAAATTTTATTTTAGGAAATAAATTAATAAAAAATAAACAAACATGCATTTATTACAGATCAGAGAAACACTTCTGAAAATTGACTACAAAAAACTCTATAAGCTAGCCATAGAAAAATTGGAAGAATGTTTACTAAACGTAAATCCACCATCTCTTAAAAAGTCATTCAAAGTTCTTGCTCTGAACACCGAAAAAGGCATAGCTGAGTTTGAAGTATACCTTGCAACATCCCACCCACTACCAAGAAAAATCATTGATTATACTGTTTCAACAACCATAAATATAGTGAAAAGGTTAGCAGATATTCAACCAAGTTGGAAAACTGTTCTGGTGAAAGTTAAAAGAGTAACTGATCTTAACTTTTTCCCGCCATACAAAGGTATGTTTATGATTTTAAAATGTCTACTACCTATGCTCTATAATATTGCTGTTATTGTCGGCCGTTAAGACAGAGAGGGTGCGATTGTTCTTGTTTACCAGTGGCGCCATCTATGGCCAAGAATTTGACTTCTGCCTCACCCATAAGTCACACCCGGTGGATTCATTCCTACATCCATTCATTCCTCCACAGATCGTAATTTGGCCCTAAACCAGAGAACAACCAATTACCAATTCAGTATCCCCAGAGGTAATAATTTGTTATGGGAAATTGAAGGATTTTGTGACCCGACAAGTTTAACTATGACCTGTCACCTTTTACTTCACGGGGAATCTCCGGCCGGCAGGTATCTAACTCACGACTAATTGAACATGAGCCATATGCTCTGCCAACCAGGCTATCCCAGCCGCTTTGCTCTATAATAAATGTAGGATTCAACATAGTGGACTTATATAAAAATTTATAAGGCTGATTTCCAACAATTTTTACAAAACTAAATCTTAAATTTAGCTGCAATGTATCAGCAGAAATCACATTTGTGGATCGTAATCTATGGGCCTTTACAAAAACGTAAAGTGTTTTTGAGGTTTAGTTAAAGTTGTCTTCAAGAACAACCTCAAAGAATCACCCTCCAGAGGTTTATAATCAAGGTGTATGAAGTTGATTTGTTCGCACTTGAGGTTCTTTTGAGGTTGATAGTAATCTATTAGCTTAGGTGCAACCAGCTTAGAGGTTGTTTTTGAGATGTACATGTTATTTTTTTACACTTCAAGTAAATAAATATGTTTGAGGTGTGAATAATTTCACCCGATTTCAGCAAAAGGAATTGCTTAGCTGTATACCAGATTGATTTTATTAGGCGTAATTGAGGTTGAGGTTTATTGATAAGATTGTTTTTGGTGCAAAATATAACCTCAGTTTCTACCTTTTTCACACCTGCCAGCCTCAAGAACACTTTTGTGTAAAGGGGTCATGCCAATGAATATCGGACCCCAATTTTAATAGAACCAATTATACATACATATATACACAGAGGA